CCCCCCCCCCCCCCCCCCCCCCCCCCCCCCCCCCCCCCCCCCCCCCCCCCCCCCCCCCCCCCCCCCCCCCCCCCCCCCCCCCCCACGCGAAACTTTTGAAATAAATTAACGGAGTAAATATAAAATCTAAACTGCATTGAAGACATGATATTCGGTGTAAGTTTTTTTTCTCTGGAAGACTTTCACAATTCGAGAAAGCGAAAAATATCCTTCATTTATGTATATTGGAATGCTTTTCTTCACAATGAGAATAACCACAGCACAAGACTTCATTTTTGTGTCTCTGCGAGAAAATAGGATGAACAAAAAATAGTTCTTAATCATTAGAAAAGATATATTGTTTAAATCAAGTTTAATTTTACTACATAAGCTCTTGTAAATATCAACAGAGTAGCTCGATTAGAAAGAAAAGCATCGAACGTAGTCAAATACGTCATTGATGACTCATCCCATTTTTCTGGAGATTAATTTTTTCGTTGTATTTGAGCCATGCGCATGTGCATCTGCCGAGCCAATTGACGTCACATGAAACGATACTTTTTGATCCTATTGTAATATCAATTCGCGTCATCGATACATTGTACTGAAGCAATTCTACTTAATACACTAACTGATATTTTAAAAACGAGCTTAAACATTAGTAAAAAAAACCTATATTAATCAGCAGTTTCGAATACACTTATTACGGTTGTAAACATCAGATATTTAGAAAATTCATTTAATGTAAATATTCTGACCTTCAATCAAAACATAGATGTAACGATTGATGAATTGACAATTAGACTTTCAACACCGCTACGATAAGACTATATTAATTGTGTAGCTTTCCTGGTGAGCTCGTAGTTAACGAGAAATTGTTTTCAATATGCAAAACTAAATTATTCAAACAAATGCTTTCATGACGACTAGCGAGAATTCCACAAAATGATAATATATTTCTTTGCATTACTCAAATACACATCAGCAAAGTTTACAGTATTTTTGCTGAACTCTCATAAAATGAAGAAATAATTTCTTAATATAAAATCTCGTTTTTATTATCCATTACTTACGTTACTGTGTGAATAAATATTCGTATGACAATAGTTCCCTCATGAGAAATATCTTTTCCGAACAAGAGCGAGAAAATACTCTGCCCTAGTTGATTGTGATATAATCAATAGAGAGCTTGTATTGGAATTCACTGTTTAAATATATTTCAAAAAATATCTTATAAAAATCATAAAAAACGAATGACAATAAACAGAAACAAGAAATTACATTACTTTTTATCATTGATATCCATCAGTTTGTTTGTGCGTGGAAGTATAAAGACCGTTACATTTTATTATTACTATTATTTTTTCCTTTTTTTTATCTTTATTTATTTTTTGCTTATTTTTATCTTTATTTTTTTCTTCTTCTTTTTTATCTTTATTTTTTTTTCTTTTTATCTTTATTTTTTTTCCTTTTTTTATTTATTATTTTGCTTTTTTTTATTTAATTTTTTCCTTTTTTTTTAATTTTAAAATTCTTTTTTTTTAGATAAATGTGAAAGGTCGAATGTAGTAGGTCAAGACGTCGCCACCACATGAGAATTCGCCGACAATGCCCTATGTCTTTTTTTTTAAATAAAAAGAAAAATCGATTAGTGCTTGATAATCCTCAAATGATGAAAAAAGTAAAGGAAAATAGACTAAGTAAAACCCATATGATAAATAGAGATTTTAGTGGCTTTTCATATTTCTTTCTTTCTTTTTTTTTATACAACAATTTTCTTTTGCCACGATGATGAGAAGAAGTAAACATATAGATTCATAAGCACAAAAAACAGCTACAAGTGAAAGAAAAACAAAGAAAAAGAACATTATGTATTCTCACCGAACGAAACAGGTGTGCATTAATTGTAGTCCAAAGACAGGTTTTTTGTGAGCCTATTTCGTGCTAGTGAAAATAGAAGAAGAAGAACGACGACGGAACAAAACCGATTCAGTTGAGTTTCATCTTTTCAATAAGGTGAATAAAAATAACTTGAACGACCACGACCACTAGAAGAGAAGAAAACAAAACTTATTTAGAATGATCATTTTCTTTTATCTTACCGAAAAAACGGTCGAGAAGCACGGCCTCGATAAGGAGCAGATACATATGGCATGTAGGCAGCACCACCGCGTGGAAATCGACCACGGCCAAAACCACGTAGTGCACCACGAGGTGGTCGATCAGTTGATGATACACCAGGACGATTGGTTCGTTTTTCAGTTACCTAAATTTTTCACGTTAACAAAATACAGAAAACTTATTCATAAATTTATTTACTTTTATCTGACGTCCTTTGAATAATGAATCGTCAAGAGCAGTAGCAGTCTGTATAGACTCTTTGTCGGAAAATTCAACATAAGCAAAGCTAAAAGTAAAAAATAACATATGTAAAAAACGAATTCTTCTCGGCTGAAAATTTCAGAGTGTTTCCCAGCTCATTAATATTCTATTGAATCTTTGCAAAATAGACAATCAACGAAGTAACTATAGCTATCATACCCTTTTGGTTGGCCAGTGAATTTATCGCATAAAATAGTAACTCTATGAATAGAACCACAACCATGAAAATGATTTTCAAGTTCTTGTGCTGTTGCTGAATAATCAACCTAAAATAGAAATAGAAAAATTATTGTGAATACGATTTTATTTTTCGTCAACATACGTTTCCAACATAAACTGATCGTTGATCAGCATCCATTTTTTCTTCAATCGTTGGAAATGTAGCTAAAATTAATAGATAAAAATATTTTTTTTAATTTTTCAAACAAAACAAAATAAATCTTACGTGTACCAGGTGTACTTGGCAATTGCATTTGTTTTTCTACTTCAAGTTGCATTTGCTTCAATTTTTCAGCTTCTTCTTCCATTTCTCTTATACGCTTGCGCATTGTTTCAAGATCAGCTTCATCGCCCATTTCTGATGTATCCAAAAGAGAGTCTGAGACATTTTCTTGACCATTTGGACTGAGTGCAGCATCAGCATGCAATACAGCACCATTATTATTTCCAATTGATGTATTTAAATCCATATTTAATAGGTGGATGTGAATATCTGTCACGACTATTTTGAATGAAGAATGAATAATGAAAACAAATAAACAGAATGAATGACTAGAGACACGGTATTAAAGTTCTTTGTCACTATTGGTTATTTACAGCTTCTTCGAAAAAATTAAAGGTTTAACGGATTGAAATATTTTTATTTTTATTAATTTATTTTTATGATTTTTATTTTTATTTTACATAAATCGAGAATTGGAATTTCATTGGATAGTTACTTCACCAATGGAACACACGCTTTCTATCTTCCCTTCCCAGTCAGACAAGCGTTGAAAAATCCGGTGTTTTTACGCGTAAAAGGTTCACATTTTGATCCATTAAAGCTTATTTTTTTGGTTCGAATCAAATGATTTTTTCGAATTTGTCATCCGCAAGCTTCCTTTATTTGCCGAAAAAAACTCAAATTTCATGAAACGTTAGTGTGCGTTTTTTACGAGTAAAAACACCGTTTTTTCAACGCTTGTCTGACTGGGTTCTCTTCTGAATCGGAATGACAAGCATGATTCGAAAACTTCAATGTTTGGCAGTCTTCAGTAGTATTTTAGTAGTTATTTTTGCCATGTACGAAATAGTGATGGGCTTGCACAAATAAACCGTATTCGTATACTTCGTGTCGAAGTGAAAGTCGTCAAGTTTGTTGTATTTATATCCGTCTAGAATAGTCCTCTATTTTCTTGGCCTCTTTCTTATGCAACAAGTTAACTGCAATCTAATTAATTACAGTACATTTATTCTAACGCGTATTGTCCTGTATACTAGGGAAGTTTAAAGATTGTATCATTGACTATTTGCTTGATTTTATAGAGTGACATGTCTGAAATGTTCAGTATTTGTTCCTGGATGGTATATTCAACGAATGAGTGTTATGTATATCAAACCAAGAAAATCAGTATAATTTAAACGAATACTGAAAACTTTTAGTTTGACTTCTTCCACAAAGATTTTTCATATCGATTGAAGGTATACCTGTCCGTATTTACACCCCAATAAATGTAGTAAATAATGATCAGACAAAACGTTTCCCCGCTATCATTTATTATCATCGAGGAATATTTTATATCAGTTCAATTAATCAGTGTGCTTTGATTTATTATAGAACTGAAAGTTTTTGAATAATTTATTATTTCAGAAATACACATCATCCAATAGCATGTACATTAGCTGTTGAATAACTTTCGATTGATGACTGCCGCAATGATCGAACATTTTCATATAAAGATATCATCTTGCACCTGAATATCCTTCCCAGCTGGATTTGATAATTGTTTTAAAGTAAATTCAGCATATTCTCGATGCAAATCATGCAGAAAAACTTAATATTGATCAAAAACGTGTTGCTATTTCATGCGATTCAGCTAGCATTTCAGTCTTATGTTTCTCATAAAATTTTCTTTCAATCATAATTTTTTCCTATTAGGTAGAAATCTAGCTGCTGTTATTGCGATGCGATTTGCTAATAGTTCGAATACTGTGAATGTTCCTCGTTGTCAAGTATTAATATATTCTCTCGTTCAAATGTTTGATTTTGGAAGATTTGGACAAGCCCTGGAATAACTCGTCAATAAAAGTATAAGCAATGATATACTTCTTAATAATCATAGAAACATTGAACGAAAGAAAAAAGATCGTCATTTTGAGAATTCTTTCCACGATTCATTCGCTCTTTGGAAAGATGCATTCGAACTAGAAATGTTCCATGACGTTATTAAATATCTTGAACATAATCTTTAGTAGAATGCTTCCTACAAATGTGTTCATGAGATCAAGTCAGATTGAAAATAATAATTTTTTGTAGAAAAATATCAATAATGATAATTCTAATTATTTTGACCAAACATGAAGACTTCTTCAACAAAAACAAAAGAGGTATGGAGGGCTACGGAAAAAAGAGGATCCCAACATACGCATAGATTGAAACAATTAACAGTAGCTCTATGTGTGCAATGAGTCTCTATGCGAATTCATCGTTGTATTCACTGCATATTAAATCAAATGGTTTGCTTGCTCGAACAAGCGATTATTGGTTTCTACCAGTATATTACAGGATCTTTCGCTTATGATGAACATTATCACTATGAAGAACTTGTAGAAAATATCAAAATAAGATCTCATACTACAAGAGAAACATTACATAGGAGAGAGAGATAGAGAGCGCGTTTAGTATTAGTTTAAAAATGCAGAGTTATCCTGGCCAACTAAGTACTTACCTTGCTGAAAAGAGGTTTAAAAACTAAGCAAGCAGAATAATCAACATCTATCTTCTTCGAAATCGGAAGTATGTACTCGATAATATATATTTTTCATAGTCAACCATTTTAAAATCATAATGCTGATGATGTCGCACGAATTTTTCTTTTGCTCATTTTATCTTTTCATATTAAAATGTATGCTCCTGTATCGAACGACCTCTTTTTCCTTTGACACAGGCTCGATGTCATTTTATTCCAATGGAAACAAAGTGTATGCAGATAGATAGATTGATTGATTTTTTTCTTAACCTCGTTTCTCTCCAACATCGATCTATTGATGAGGTCGAGTGCTTTGAGTAGAAACGCTGTGTGACTGATTATTTTCAATATTTATATCAAGCGAAGAAGAAAAAAAACAGGGCATATTTGGAAAGTACTCTCAGATTTCATATCATCAATAGAGTTTTACTATTTCTGTTATAATGCTAGAAAAGAGGCTTCATCTATGTCATAGTTAGACTGTTAATTATCTATTTATAGATAGACGTTTTAGTCATGTTTGATTTTGTCACGCGTCGTCGTCTTATTTTTGGTGTTGTTGCATTATTATTTGTGACAATAAGCGTTTTATTTATTGCTCATCTAAATTCAAAATTTTTTGATCGCGTTATTCCGACCTCTTATATATCGTATTCATCAAATAGTTCACTCGACGATAAACAACAATCAAATGAATGTTATCTGACTGAAACAATTGAAGTTGTAGCATTTTGCCAAAAATGTACAGCGTATGAACGTCGTTCGAAAGCAAATGGCTGTTCACCAACAGGCTATAAAGAACTCGTACTTTGTAGCAAGTCAAATATAAAAGCTTCACGTGCATGCCCAGTGCCGATTCGTATTCAGAAAGAAAACTTTTGGATTTTTCAGGGTATTGTATTTTTTATTGGTTTGCTATCGATGGCAAGTGTTCATGGACGACAAAAGGCGTTGGATAAACAAATGGTTGAAAAAATTAAAAGACAAATAGGCGAGAGTGATAAATGAGTAATAGGATACGTGTGTTTACGTACCATTTTTCAAGTGATATGATGAAACGTATTTTACTTTGATATTCTTGTGATAAACCGACACTGATCATTGAAAGTATTTATAAACGTGGAACTATAAATTTTATTTGTATTTTATTTTCTCGCAGCTATTGTAACAAACGTCTGCTTATCTTTTTTGTTTTGCCTAAATAGTGAAGATCTATGCGTTTTACTACTCAATATAATCTCGTTTTATTTGATTTTGTAGATTTATTTGATATCGAACTGTGATACACACCATTCCCCCTTGTATTGATATTCTAGACTGACCACAGACGGTAGATTCAGTTGATTGTAAATCTTCATTAATTTGAATTCTGTTTTTTCACAGTGGTGGTTTTTCAACAATGTACATTTCAAAATCTTCTACATTTGTATTACTCGTTAGCTCTCTCTGCCTCGCAGTACTGCCGGTAAAGTCATCTAGTGGTTGTGGTTATGATGTAAGATGAGTTTAGATTCTATACCATAACAATAAATAAAATGTGATGATTTTACTTCCTAGGCATGCAATTTAGGTGATCCAAAAAAGCTCAATGTTCATATTGTCCCACACACACATGACGATGTTGGATGGTTGAAAACAGTTGATCAGTATTATTACGGAGGTACATAATCTCACTGCTGCTTTTTTTTATTGTTGATATATAAATAAGAGTTTTGCCGAATCTAATTAAGCTCGTAATAATATTCAACATGCCGGTGTACAGTATATTCTCGATTCTGTTATACATTCGCTTGAAGAAAATCCTGATCGACGTTTTATTTATGTTGAAATAGCCTTCTTTTGGCGTTGGTGGAATCAGCAAACTAATGACACACGTAATAAAGTCAAAAATTTTGTTAATCAAGGTAGATAATTTTAAATTTAGTCTCTTGAGAAACGATTTTTGAATCTAGGCCGTTTGGAATTTATTTCCGGTGGTTGGTGTATGAACGATGAAGCATCGACACATTATAATTCAATTATTGATCAACATAGTTTAGGAGCGGAATTTTTGCGTGATCAATTCGGTGAATGTGCTCGGCCGAAAATCGGTTGGCAAATTGATCCATTTGGTCATTCACGTGAACAAGCGTCGCTTTTTGCTCAGGTAATAGATTTACTATAGAATCTATGAATTTTTATTGTCTATAGATGGGCTTTGATGGTTTGTTTTTTGGCCGTGCCGATTATCAAGATATTGACAAACGTACTGAAACAAAGACAAGGGAGTTAATCTGGAAAGCTAGTGCTAATTTAGGTAATTAATAAATCGAAAGTAGATCCGAGTTTAGAACATGATTTACTTGGAAACATTTTATAAACATTTTTAGATCGACGAAGTTGGCTATTTACGGGTGTTCTACCAAATGGATATAGTCCTCCGGGTTCGTTCTGTTATGATATATTTTGTGGTGATCCACCCATTATGGTTAGTTGTTTCATTTTCCTCTAATTTCGTTTCTATGCTTGTAAATGTTTGTCTTCTGGTGGTACATGGATGTTTGTCTCTTTTTTTCCTTGCAGATAATCTACGGTTTTTCACTTATTTTTAACTGGACATCTACATACCATGAAATAGATTTTGCTGCAATTTTGCACCTATTTTAGTGTGATGCTTTTTTAAAATTTTTTTCCTCCGCTCATATTTTGTTTTCTAAAGAAAAACTATCTTAATTTATAGGATGATCCTCGATTACACGATTATAATGTTCCGGAACGTGTTGAAACATTCATCAAAGCTGCTCACGATGAAGTTCGTATTTTTCGCAAAATTATCAATTATGAAACTGTTTTCCTTTTAGGCAAGTAGTTATGCCACGAATCATATCATTATGACCATGGGCAGTGATTTTCAATATGAAAATGCAAACCAATGGTATAAAAATTTAGATAAACTAATGAAATATGTGAATGCACAAGTAAAGAAATTTCGTACTTTTTATTCCTCAAAATAATTTCCATATACTTTCCAGCAAACAAATGGAAGTGATGTGAATGTATTCTATTCCACGCCATCATGTTATTTATATGCTTTGAACAAAGTTGGCCGTGCTTGGACATCGAAAACTGATGATTTTTTCCCGTATGCTCATCATCCACATGGATTTTGGACAGGCTATTTCACATCACGGCCAGCTCTGAAACGTTATGAACGTCTTTCAAATAATATTTTGCAAGTCACTCGACAATTGAATGCGTTTTCTAAAGCAAATTTACGAAGCAGTATTTTTCCTTTGAGTAAGTCATTGAGTTTTTGAGGTAAAAAATTAATTCTAATCGTTATTAATAAAAGACGAAGCTATGGGTATTGCACAACATCATGATGCAGTAAGTGGAACTGAAAAACAAGAAGTTGCTTTTGATTATGCCATGCGATTATCTCAAGGCATTGATGCTGCAGTTGTAAGTAAAAAGCCGGCAGAATAATTTTTCTAATTAGGTGAAATTTAGGATGTGATCAATAAAGCTTATGATAAAATTTTACCGCTTGATAGTCAAACTCCACCAAGTGGCCCTCAATTTCTCTGTCAATTAGTCAATATTAGTGAATGTTTACCTATCGAAGGGCAAGAACGAGTTCGTATAATAAAAATATTTCTTTCACTTTCTATTTGAATCTTAATAGTTCACTTTGATACTTTGGAATCCAACTGTACATACGATTTCGCATCATGTTCGTGTTCCTGTAACGAAAGATTATACAGTACGTGATCCAACAGGACATGTAATCGTAGCTGAGGTAAATAAAGAATCCGATGATAATTGAATGAGATTTATTTCTTCGATGGTTTCGTTTTCAGATGATTCCAATCTCTGAATCAACACAGAAAATTCCCGGTCGAAAAAGTTTTGCTGTTAATCAACTTGTTTTCAAAGCGATTCTGCCTGCGCTTGGCTTTAGTACATATTATTTTGAAATCAAAGGTAATCTGGAATGCATTGTATAACACTGATCAGTTGTGTTTTTTTCCGTTTAGCTACTGAAAAAAATAACAATGAAAAACAAGTAGTCATAACACAACATAGCGAATGTATTCTTCAAAACGAAGTACAAGATAAATTTAATTGGATTTGTTTTTGGTAAATTAATTTTTTCTTGATTTATTGATAGTATCTTCGCGTTGAAATTGATTCTCAAGGAAATCTAAATAAGATTACGAATTTAAAAAAGAAAATATCTGTACCATTTTCTAATCAAGGTTTCTATTGGTATGGAAGTAAGTGATCGTCTATCTTCAATCAGTATATTCGCATTGAAATTAAGGTTTTCCGGGAAATAATTCTGGATCAGAATTTCAAGCATCTGGTGCTTATATATTTCGTCCGATTTCATCAAATCCAGAACCAGTTAGCAGTAAACGTTCAATGTAAGTATATCTAATTATTTATTGGCTAAATTTAAAAATTCTACTGTAGAACTTCACGGGTACGATTTTTGAGACTTTCTCATAGGTTTAATATAAATTCGAAAGATCAGTAGAATGATGATTCGCTGCAGTTTATCTCTGAAACTTTTATCTTTCATAATTAGAACTTGTATCAAAGGACAAAATGTTCAATCAGCAACCATCGTGTTCAACAATTGGGCTAGTCAAGAAATAAGTTTGTATGATGATGCTAAAATGGTCGAAGTCGAATGGACTGTTGGACCTATTCCAGTCGATGATAATATTGGAAAAGAAATAATTCTTCGCTACGATACAGATATTCAAAGTGAATCGAAATTCTATACTGATGCAAACGGTCGTGAAGTTCTCGAACGTACACGAGATTATCGTCCGACATGGAATTATTCAAAAGTTGAACTTATCAGTGGAAATTACTATCCAATAAATAGTCGCATTTGGATCAAGGAATCCAATCGGCAATTAACTGTTCTTACGGGTAAAAACAAACTGATCGTTGACACAGACAAATTTTCGTTTTTCTTGATTTAGATCGATCCGAAGGTGGTGCTAGTATACAAGATGGATCCATTGAAGTTATGTTACATCGGCGTACATTTTACGATGATGCACTTGGCGTTGATGAACCATTAAATGAAACTGCTTTTGGCGCAGGTCTTGTTGTGCGCGGTAAACATTTACTTATCATTGAATCACCTGCAACAAGTGCTCTCTATCATCGAGTTGCTTCTCAACGATTCTATATGAATCCACTTGCTACTTATGCATTACCTCCCTTGCCCTATGCGGACTATTCAACGACATATCGTCAAACATGGTCAGCATTGCAAACTGATTTACCATTGAATGTTCATTTATTGACATTCGATCAAATCGATGCAAAAAAATATTTGATTCGCGTTGAAAATTATTTTGAATTAAACGAAGATGACACATATTCACATCCAGTTATAGTTGATTTACAAAAGCTTTTTCAATCTCAAGGAGTCATAAGTGATATAGCTGAGATGATACTTACTGCTAATTTACGAATAACTGATATGAAACGACTTGAATGGATAACTAATAATAATAGATCATCAAAAGTAGACGTTAAAAGTAAGTGCTTGAAATTGATCTACTTCGAGATTCTTATATTTTATTTTTTCTTCTAGAAGACATATCATTAAAAGATTTAAATATTTTACTGAATCCAATGGAAATTCGAACATTCCTTGTAACAGTTGAATAGACGATTTATTCAACGTTAAACTTAGACATTCTGTAATATTAATCTAAATTTTTTCTTTTCTTATGTAGAATCTTACACACTTTTCTCTCTCTCTTTTCCTTTTATTCTTACTCACGTAATTAGTGGAAATAAATAGCTTTAAGTTGATTTGCTTTTAAATCGAAAACTGTGTATTCAATCTAGTGTATTGAATAATGAATATATATATATATATGAAAATTAAATTCTTACTGAACTAATAATTCTTGATCGGAAAATATATAAAGAAAAAAAATTACTATTCCGAATTTTCTATTGTCGCTGCGAAAAATTACGATATACAGTTGCAAAAAAAGATTATGAAAGCGCTGAATCTATTTACAACAATTCGGTAAATAGATGAAATCTTTTCAAGTTCATTTGAGTCTACAGAATGTTCATGATTCCTATTGAATTCTAATTGATTGTTTGAAGGACATCCCTTGTTCGTTAATTAGTGGACTATATATTCACTCGGTACCAACGAAATTGTGTGACTCGTCATTGCTCTGATATTCGAAAAGTTCCTATTATAATCTTATTCATAACTTATACGTTCAGCAAAACACTGGATAGGTATTTTTTTAATTATGAGTCATTCGAATTACAGATGATTCACTCGATTTGTTAGATTTAGAACTGAACATTTTCTTCAAGTTCCCTAATATAGTTTTAATCAATAATAATAAACTACATTTTGATAAATGAATTCACTTTAACAATGTAACCACCATAGGATCTCAAGTAGTATTTCCCTAGGTAATATTATATTTGTATACTCCAACTGAACTTATTTCGTATTATAGCGCCTCTATAGATTCTCTCCTATTGACACGTCGGCGATTTTAGTTTTAGACGAATTTTTATAACAATGCAGCAACATATGAAGAAATATGACCGACAAAAAAATTGACTTAAATACTAGTTTTTCATTGTACTCATATTAGATCAAATAGATACAAAACCGGAATTTAATCATGTCAAAAATTACTGTCAATTAAATGAAGAAAGTCTATTCAATCAAAAAAGAAATCATTCACTGCTTAATTTAGAAGAGACTTCACATTAACTAATATGCGATGTGATGAACATGGCAATATCTCCAATAGAATTCTATGCATTAACCTTCGACAAGTTTCTTTTTTACAATGGCAAAAGCATAAAAACGAAGAAAATGTCCTCATTCATTCCAATCTATATATAAGTGAATGTTCTACGTGATTTTTAAAATATGCTGCTGCATTCATTTTCATGCGTGTTGTAAGAAAAACAGAAATAATGATAACATAGGTTTTATTTATTGAGGAAAAATGTGTAACAAAATTTTGCCTGTTAACTATAATCAATGGTACGAATGAAAACGACAAGACCGATAGCTAGATAAAAGAAAAGAGCGACCACAAAACTTGCCATTGACCAAGAAAATGAACGTCGTGCATGTACATAGGCTTGTTCATAATGGCCGTGACGTTCACAGTTCAGGGATTTAATCGCATAGAAAACTGCAACAATACCTATTTGAAATAGGACAAAATTCAATTTGTTTCTATAACAAAAAAAAAATTTTTCTACATGAGCAAACTTATTGTAGAGAAATTTGCTCATGTAGAAATTTTTTGTTTTGTCTATCATTTCAATGGAGTATTTCCATTCATTTTCCTGGGTTCTTTTGTGGACTTACCAGTGACAAAAAACAATAACGATGCAGTCAGTGCACAAGCAAGATGTCGTCTAGGATGAGCATTTTTATTTAATAATAATTGCGACGGAGATTGATTTGGTTCATCTGAATCGATCGAATCAATGATCGCGATAATAGAGAATTTATCTTACCAAATGAAACGCTACCACGTTCGCCGGTTAGTGATCGACCCGATGCTGACCATCGACATGGTGATAATTTGTGATTCGCATGAAATATTGAACAAGCTTGTGATGAAAACATGATGAGCCGAATTTCAATCGATAAAGTAGCTCATTTCTAAAATAAGATATAAACAAAGTCGTGGAGTAAAACAATACGATTTACCAACAAGTGTGTCTTTCCTTAAAACCTAAATAAAAAAAACAACAACTTGTCATTGATCAATCTTATATATATTGGTAATAGTGAAGAAAAAAAACTTCAAGTAAAACAAGAAAAAAAACTTCAAGTAAAACAAGAAAAAAATCTAGGCGGAAATCATCCGCTCGCCGACATCGGATACTTATAATCGAGTATTCTAGATACGACTGTTTTCACAATATAAGAGTTATACGGCAATAAGAAGAAAGGCTTAAATGCGCGCACAAGATCTTATCGTGAAAATAAACATCTGTTCCCATTTGATTGACATCTTCAAAGAATGTTTTAGGCGAAAGAAGAAAGCTGAGGTGCTGCAGTTAACACATACTGTCATCTAAAAGATTAGTTTGTACTAAACGAGAGACTTGACGTCTCATCGCTAGCGAACAAAGCAATTTTTGTTAACTTGGCAGTCCTAATGACAAAAAATAGCTATCATGTTAATTTCCAATCGATAGATTTTCTTTTTTTTCGATCGATTCGGCTTTTTCTCCGATGTTTTTAGGATTAAAGATGAAAGCTAGAGAGAAAAGTGAATCAATGAAAGTGACGCGCGTACGAGAGCGTTACAGACATATATATTGGCTATTATCGATACTAATGTATACGCATAGAATTTTTGCAATCCACTAATCTCATAAAGTTGATTTGCAAGACGAGCTCGCGATGAAGTAAAAAAGAAAAATAAATTGTGCAAGCAGAATAAATGAAAAAATTGACTCTGTTCGCGTGTATAGACGTTGCACAATCTTTAATTAGAGATTCGCTTGTCTTAGTCGAAGACACGCAAAGCGCACAAACGGAGAAATATACCTACTGTCTGGAACCTCAAGACACATTCATCTTTCTGGCAATATTCATATCGTGATTCGACATGTGAATCTTTGTAATTGGATCAACGAGATTATGTCACAAATTTCCTCATTAGAGAAAACTTTGAATTTATAATTTCTGTATAAATATTGATTAGTATGAGTAAATAACTCGCGCTTACATGGGCGTGAGCAATAGCCGCTCGCGCTTACCACACGCATGAGCTTTATACTCGTAGGCATTACTGAACAATGTTAATTACAAAAAAAATTTTGATTAGTCAAAGTTCATTTTATATTAAAATTATTCTAAATGTACGATACGGAAAAAAATTCTTGGTCACAGATGCTGTTCTTTGTTTTTTTTAAATATTATTTGATAACTACAGTTCATGCATAATTGATACGTGTCAAATCATAAGCAATAAATAGTCATGTTTTTCATTCGATAATGAAAAGGTCTCGATTGATCGAAGCAAATAGAAATAAGTCATTTCGTATTCTCCTGTCCTTCATGCAAACACGAACATTGCGAAGAAGAAGAAAAGCTTAAGCCGTCGTGTAAAATTAAATTAAGAAAATCGAATAAATCCTTTTTTCTTTATAATTCAATTAAAGAAATTTCGAAAGGTAAAAGAGTTCATAGAAAATTATCTGATCAAACAGTCTCAACAGATAGTTTGACGTATATGATTCATCTTTTTCTATGATATAAAATCTAAATTATATGTGATCCGGACCAGATGTGACTTTTGTTTTGGTTTCTTGTATAAATATCATATTTTCAATTCGTTCTTGCACTTTTTTTTGTCGAAAGGAATAGTATATAAGGCTATCGTCAGTGATAGATGTGATAAAAAAAGACGCCAAAGCAGCTGCTCGCATTTATTTCATAGAAATGCGACCGAGCCATGTTACTGCTATTCTGTCTTTTGCTTTCGCTTTGATCTTACAGATATGATATCGCATTCACTCTCAATAGATTTCTTTTTTCCCTTTTTCTTTCATTGCTTTTTATATTGTAGAAAACAAAACACAAACTATTTAATGGCGTCTAAAACACCAACATCAGCAACAGCTTTAGCTGAACAAAACGCTGAAGATATTCATGAACAATATGAAAAATATTTACATGCTGGAAGGTCGTTTCGTTTTAACAAAAAAAAAAGACATTTTTTTTTCTCTCATTTTTATAGTGGTGGTAAACAACGCAGCAAAGTCGAAGTGCAACTGAATTCACAGCATCATGATGCTAGCGGTGATACAAGAAAGATTGTACAAGCTATGGCTAATAATGAAAAAAATCAAAAACATGAAAAAAAACAATAGATAGACTATTCTATGTTTCATTCATGTCTAAACTAAGTTGAATGGCATGTTTTCGTACATTTGGTTTTTGAGACACTGTAAGAGATTTAAACTCAGTTGTTTTATTTTCTTCATTTGAATAAATACGTTTTTTTCCTTCTATTAGCTGTCTATTGATATAACTACGATTGAAAGGGATTAAAATTTTAAATTAGTATAATAAACTACGTTATTTCGCCATTAAAAACATATATTTTGAGACAGATTTATAGACTAAATATTTTTTTCGAAGTGTTTTAATATGAGAAACTTCACGAAATTATCCAGCCAAAATGGTTTTCCACATTTTCATAATATACGCATTTCAGTAATAGTTACTTATAGAATGTTTATTGGTCGACAACGATTGTGTATATAATGCTTACATCGAATATCGTACATTTCAAAAAGGGTACCAGCGAAATGGCTAATCTTCAATACTTCATGCTTTATGAGAGTAACGACCTTTACGATACTTCCGTTTGTAATTTTTCGCGTAATTTTGCAAACAACTATTTATGCTTCATTTACGACGAAATCTGAGGACAAAAGTGGAGACCAGTATATAAACATTGAGCAAATTCTTCTTCAATCGATTTAGCACAAAAACAAATGGTGCGAGATCATTACTAATCTAGTATCGAATCCAAATTGATTATATTGAGAAATCAATAGCATTCATAAGCAAAATTCAGGAAGCATTTATTTCCAGTTGAAAACAACGATGACAAAAACAAGCTCATAGCTTCAATCGAATATGTATTTTTGAATACTGCCGAATCTCACTGTTTTCATACCCTGTAAATCATGACCTTATTCGAATGAGTTTGATTAATACCGTTCAACGAATTGAGAATTTCAGAAACATATACTTACATCGGGATTGTTTCATTGTTGAATATTGTCTTCATAGTATTTCTAAGTTTGACTTGCATGATAGAGGAAAGTGCAGATGCTGCCAAATAAAAACGAAAAATACGTGATCTCATCTGACAAACCAACGAAGACAACTTGCACACTAAAGTTCCAAATAAAACATCAATGACTCAACGATGTATAGTTAACTAATTTGAAAATTTGCAATTCAAATACTAAATCAGCTAATTACACTCTCAACACTAAGGAAATTTTTTTAATATAATAAACATTGAAATCCTCATGTCGAATGAATGAAACTATAGCGACTATCAGTGACGCTGAATAATTTTTAACTGTGAATTGTTTTACGAAGCCATGAAGAACATATTTTCTTCTTGAATATTTTGTAGACATTGATAAAAATAATCTGATTGGTTGTTCAAGACTTTGATGAGAGCCTAACTTCTTGGTATTTATTGAATCATTTTATATCAATACACTGTATTCGTCGAATCATAACTTATTCAAAATTATTTATAAACTTCTGCAGTTCTTACTTAAGTTTTTCATTATTTTTGCAACAAAACAAGTTGTGATTCTTCAACGATTCACTTCTGCATCTAGATAGGATATACTAATTGTAAAACTATGTTAGTTCAACATTTGAATTAGTGGCGGAGCCAGAGGGGGAGCTTGGGGGAGCTGAGCTCCCTCTAGAAAATTTTGTCGCTATTTAGGCTGTTACTGTCAAATTATCTTTACTAAATAATTTCAATGCAAATACTAGAAGTTAGCATAGCCGTTTGCCTATTTTTAATCGACTAAGAACAACTTAGACCTTTTTTCTCTTCATTTTTTATGAGCAAGTCTTTCAATTTCAAGTAATTCTATCGATGCCAATTGTAAATCAAAAACCGTGATTAAAGATACTAAATTGTCAACTATAATGGATATACTTAATGAATTAAAACCAATGAAACAAGCATTTCCTTCAACTGTGGCTTTGATCAAAGGTGCTGTCACATTTCCTGTGTCGTCCGTCGTATGTGAAAGGTCGTTTTCCAGGATGAAATTGATTAAAAATTATGCTCGAAATTCGATGGGTGATGAAAGACTTAGTGATCTTAGTGTATTGGCTATTGAAAGAGAATTTGACATAGATTTTGAAAAGGTTATTGATGTATTTGCCATACAACATAAAAATAGTAGAATTTTGTTAATGTGATTAAGTGATATGAAATACATTTAAATATAGAATCCCATTCATATGTTGATATAAACATAATGTTTATAAATATATGAGCAAGAACTGATTGAATAAGATATTAGGGCTCAGAAAACTGACTCAAACATGACAGTTTTCAAAAAACAATTTTACTATCGTAAGTAGACTTTGAATAATTAAGATGGAGCTGAGCTCCCTCTAGACTGAAATCCTGGTTCCGCCACTAATTTGAATTTCGATTATGTAAAAAAATCTAGTTGAATTTCTAGATTGGAGGCCTTTCAATTTGCGTAAGTATTGCCACACAGAAATTTGATACAGCTTATAACTTACTTCCCTCTATATTTAGGAATAGAACGCAGATGACTCATTTTCTCTTCTCACTTTTTTCTTTTCTGTATACAAATATTGACTTGCGCAAGACATACTGTAATCAAATGCAGTGCGTATAAAACGCATTCATTTCTCATCATTTGTAGGCTAAAGGTTGTCTTCTAAATTTCATCGAGAATTATGTTACGAGCTGTTAATCAAAATAATGCAACAACACAATTCGTCCCGCTCAAAAGCATAAATATTCATGGTAAAGTTCGTTTATTTGCAGCTGATGTGACAATTACGCAGGTATTTCGTAATGATGAGCCAACATCAATCGAAGCTGTTTATTGCTTTCCAATCGAAGAACAAGCAGCAATCTATGGATTCGTGGCTCAAATTGATGAACGAAATATTGTTGCTGAACTGAAAGAGAAGAAAGAAGCACAACAAGCTTATACGCAAGCATTACAACAAGGTCATGGAGCATATCTCATGGAACAAGACGAAAAATCACAAGATAATTTCATCATCAACGTTGGTGCATTGCCACCGTCGAAAGAATGTACAATAACAATTTCGTATGTTACTGAACTGGAACTTGTTCAAGGTTCCATCATTCGATTCGTAGTTCCGACGACAATTGCACCACGTTACAATCCTGATAAGCATGGAATAGCATCACCAGCAGGCACGACTACCAAGTACGTACAAACAAGTCCGTATACGATTGAATTCTGCTGTCAAGTAGAAAACTTGGGTGGTTCGCAGATTGCACGCATAAATTCATCATCGCATCCGATTGAAATAGATCTTGCACAACGAGATTCCTACACAGTGAAATTAGCTCAGAACAATACACATCTAGATCGAGATATTCTCATCAGTATTGAACTTGCTGAAAAACATGATAATTTAATTGCAACCATTGAGCCTGGTGCCGTCATGGCTACTTTTATGCCTACAGAAGATGATTGTCAGCGTGTAACTAAATGTGGTCACCAAACAAATGAGTTTATCTTCGTGGTAGACTGTAGTGGATCGATGAGAGATGAAAGCAAGATTGAACTAGCTCGACAAGCCATATTGCTCTTTCTAAAAAGTTTACCGATGGACTGTCATTTCAATATTATTCGTTTTGGATCAAGCTATGCAGCTCTTTTCAATGATATTTCTGTGATTTACAATGAAGAAAATGCTCGAAAAGCTGAAGCACTCGTTAAGACTATGCAAGCAGATTTAGGTGGCACTGAACTAGTAAGTATTTCTCAAAGATGCCTTTAAGTATAATCTAATAAATGTTTTATTTTAGTTAGAACCTCTCAAATGGCTGGAAAAATATTCACCAACTCAAGGACGATCTAGACAAATCTTTCTTCTTACTGATGGTGAAATTTCCAATGTGACCGAAGTACTCGATCTATGTCGTTCGATGGCTTCATCAAGCCGAATTTTCTCGTTTGGTTTGGGCCATTCACCTAGTCGTTCGCTAGTGAAAGGTCTTGCTCGAGCAACAAATGGTCGATTCGTTTTTATTCCTCCAAATACCACAGTCGACGTCCACGTTGGAGAACAATTACGAAAAGCTCTTCAGCAATGCATCACTAATGTAAAAGTGATCTGGAATCTTGGTACAGCAGGTATAGAAACAGCACCAACTCAATTGCCGCCAGTCTATGCTCAAGATCGTTTAATTGTCTATGGTCTCTTCGATGATCAATCGAATGCATTCGATCACAATTCTTCGGTTGAACTTAAAGTTGATCAACAACAGTTGAGTGTCGCAAAAATCAATCGAATACCTAGCATCAGCGAGAATGGCATGATTGCACGTCTTGCAGCAAAAGCACTCATTTTGGAATTGCAACATGCTAAAAGAAAGACAATTGGCAGTCAACAATCACGCTTTCAAACACTTATCGATGAACCAAACAACGCAACAATATTGGATGTAAAAGAAAATGAAAAGAAGCGTATTATTGAATTGTCACTGAAACACAATATTTTAAGTCCACATACAGCTTTCATCGGTATCGAAAAACGAATAGATGGAAATAATACAAATATGGTGCTTCGAGAAGTACCGATCCAAATATCGGCTGATGACCAAATATTAACATCGAGCCCACAAATGCGCATCAATGCAGCTAGGTGTTTATCGCCATCATATACTCCCTATGCAGGGCCCTTTTACGTTTGTCGTCGTAGTAGTGGAGGTCGTGGTGGTCGTGGTGATATTTCTACCTTATATTCACGAATGTATGACCCCAAAAGCAGGCTGCTTTATACGGATTCTATGCAGCCACAACAGCAGCAATGCACTTCAATGCCCCGATCGTCTTGCATGGTGTCATTCTGCTCCAACTCGTTTCAGGCATCAAATTTAATGGGAGAACGCCAGAGAATGCAGTCGAGATCAAGGTCTCGCTCGCCACCACAGTGTGATGAGATGTCTAGCCAGCGCAGTCGCAAGCAATCTAGTCATGTTAAAATACCATCAGAGACCTTAGAATGGCCGACGAACAATCAGGACATTGTTCGTCACTTGATCGATATACAAGACTTCAATGGTCTTTGGTACCTGGATGCTGAATCCATTCGCCATTTAACAGGCAAAGTTCTAGCTGATTTTGAATCGATACATACTGATGTATCAGTACTCACATCGGCGATCGTTCTTATTCTACTAGAAACCCGTTTTGGTGCATTTGCATCTATGTGGCATGGTGTCGCACAGAAGGCTCGCACGATTATCATTGAAAAACTTGGCAAAGATCCGAAAAATCTCGATACTTTACTTGAAAGCATTCGAAAAAAACTGTAAGCTGAACATTTAAATCAATATATCGAATAAAATATATTATTTTTTGTAATCCAATAAAATTCTAGAACGTAGCAGTTAAAGTTTCGTATGATATCCAAGACAAAAAAACATGTGCGTTCATACAATCTCTGATTTCAAATAAAATATATGTTCTATTATTACGAATAAAACTTTTACCATAAATCATATGTTTGAAATTCGATGTTCTATCGATCGATTCCTTTCTGTTACTTTACCATGAAGAGACATTTATATCAACTCGTCCATCTGTTATAGAATTAGCTGCTAAATAACTAAGACGATAACATTTTCCACAAATTGCAGACAAAAATATGTCGACAGCAAGAAAACTTAACAATAGTGTGGTTCTCTTGTGAAAATTCTCACAAATTATGTTTCTACGAAAAATAAAATATAAATGGGTATTTTCATTTAGTACTACATGAATTTTAACATAACCTTTTCATAGTGTCACCTATCAATAGAAGAAGCACAGTTTTAAAACTTCGTCCGTTTTCTAGGCATCAACTAAGATAGAAATAAATGTGAATAAATAACAAAAACTATACTCATATATATCGTTCAAGAATATAATAGATAAACTTTTTCTTCATTGCATTCTAGTTGACTAACATATTATAACACATTGTGGTTATAAGAAGTTCATAGAGAAAGAAAGAAAAAAATACATTCTGTATTGGTCGTTATCTAACGGATAAAATTTCAAATAAATAACAGTCAAGTCAAGTCAACAATTCTTAATCTAACTAGATATATATTTACGAGCACTGTGCTATGTCATTATTTGTTTCAGAAAATTTTACTTATCTATGATACAATTATAAAATCACATCGGCACTATGTTACATGATTCAGATGGAAATGAAGAACATACTACAGGTTCAGTGAACGAAAAAGTAGCAGAGAAAAAACCTAATGATGGAATTAAAGACAAATGCCAATGTACTAATGGATGTTCAGTACGTTCATGTTCTTGTTTTGAATCTGGCAGTGGATGCAATTCATCATGTGGTTGTAGTCCATCTTGTCAAAATTTGTTCAATCACTTGGATTATTTTTTTGGAGAAAACCATCGGCTTTCTGCTCATTCTTGTTTTGCTAAATGGCTTATGAACCATTCTAAAAATGCCAATGGATTTGAAACAATCGATCGTGATAAATTACGTAAACGTCTCATGAAAGCAGCCAAGTAAATTGAATTTTTGCCTTTTTTGCCTCGTTTTCATAAATGCAAATTCACATGTTTAGACAGGTAGAAGCATTCGACGATGATGATCTTCAAGAATGGTTAGAAGAATGGAGAACAATCGATGAAAGTGAAAAATTGGCTCATACACAACAATTATTTCGATTGTTAATATCGGATCATTCAAGTTCATTTTATTATTCATTTTGTGACAACGGTGTTTTCGATGAAGATTGTCATTGGCATTGTGTAAAATGTCAAAAATGTGTTGAGTGGCGATTTTGGCATTGCAATCGGTGTAATAAATGTACGTATTTCAAAGAAGAAGAATTTTTGCTTGAGTATATGCAACATTGGAATTTTCTTCTAGGTACTTATGGTGTTTCGTCTCCATGCGAAAGATGCGGAAGAATGTGATGTTCTTTTTAGGTTCTTTTAGAAAACTTATTAGTGGTTTATGTTTGTTTTTTGTGAAAAGCATTTTCTTGTATTCATGAACAGCACTTTTGTCAGATTAAATCGAAACTCTTAAATAGCTCATCTTGCAAAAATTATATTTTCTTATTTGATGCAAATGAAAGGCTACGCAATTTAATGAATGTGTAGTGAAGTATTTCTGTGATGCATAAAATCAAATTTATTGACGATTCTCTAATGAAATGCAGTAATTTATTTCAATAAGAACTATATTGACTTTATTTTTAACCACTGACTCGATTAAAGAAAAATAAGAATGGTTCGAAATCTTTCAAATGACTTTTCCTATTTTACGTAGAAGATTAAATAGAAAAGGAAAGTGGAAATGTGTTATTGATCTAGCTTTTTTTGCATTAAATCTCTAGTGATATATTATTTTTTCAGTCATAACGATTTCATCAGAAAGCAAATGTCAAGGAATCATATTTATATATCTTATAGATTTGCCTAAATTGTTCTCAATAGTTATAAAAAATCGATAACTCGACGTTCACCTTTGAAAATAAAAAATCACACAAACAAAAGTTTAAATTGAAGAAGTACTCGAAAATTGATACAATGTTGTTTTTTAATTAAAATTAATATTATACTTGACGATCATGTATACCGAGAACTGAAATAAAACGAAAGATTCATTTCGATGCATCAAGTTGATAATATCGTTCATGATTAAGATGTGGACTTACGGATACTATGCATTATTGCCATTGAGATTATTCTCAATCACGATATAATAAGTGGGTTTCTACATTGGTGTCTAGCTTCATTTTTTATACTACCAATACTCAGAATAACCTATTCCAGAGAAGTAATGAGACTATTTTTGTTGTTTGAACGTACGAGAACGATTGAATCAGATGATGTAATAAATGGCCACTTAAATAAGTTCACATTTAAGAAATAATTCAATTATCTTTGTAATCTATAAAATTATAAAAGTATAGACCGAGCAGGTTTCAGTATGTTGGTTCAACTCTATTTTGGCAGTGATTATGTTTTATTCATAAGGGAAAAATTGAAAATAAAGATTCCTCATTTGATTCGATTGTTTTAATATTCTCCAGTACAAATTCTCTCAAAATGCATGCAAGAGTCGCTATGTATCAAATACGGATAATGGGATTATACAATGGAAATTCTCTCGCAGTCGTATCTCCATGATTCTACACTCAGTTTGTAATAGGCAAGCGGGCACACAAAAGAGCACAATGATGAGTAAGCCATAATTTCAGATGAAATGTAGATTTAGGCCAAGAGGTCTTTAATTTCATATGGCAATCGTGTTTCTTTTAATTTCAATATTTATCTTCTTTTTTTCTTGTTACATTGATCGACTGATCAAAAAGCTTCCATATTTGAAATAGAAACATCGCGATTTCAAAAAATATTCCATTTCGACCAATAACTTTCTAGCCCGTCACATTTTTGACACGTTTCAATAAATTTCTCTTTAATCCGTTGACTTTGCTCTTGAGACATGAACGTTTTCCAATCGTTAATTTCTCCTTTACGTACTATTTCCATATTAGGCTCTCCGTCCAATTGTTTTAACATTCGAGCACGAACAATTTCATCTTGTATTTCTTGAATGTATTTACCTTCGAACTTCCGTCGTTCATTATCGTATTTATTTTTCATGTATTCGAATGATGAGTAGTGAATAACTTTATGTAGAAGTTGGTCGGTCAAATCAACATTGATAAAATCAGCAACCTAGAAAATTCAGATTATCATAATGAAAAGAAATTCATAAAATATATCGACTCCCAAGAAACATGTCAAAGAAGATTGCATATGGAAAATATTAAAACAGTAGAGCCGAGTTGTTTTTTTTGATTGGCCTAAAGATTTTCGCTTTTGCATGAATCAATTTATTAACGGAAAGAATTATTTTGGATTAAACTCAAAAATCGCGATATATTGGACTAAAAATGAGTTTAGGGATTCTTTAAGTGTGATAGAAGAATCTTCAAACTAACAGTTTTTCAAATATTAAGAAAATCAACTCAATAAGCTATACTATATCATGTATACTCACATTTTCTATAACAGTTCGGATGTTTGTTTTCATTTCTTCATAAGAAATAAGAAGAACGTTCGCATCATTACGACGTTCCCAAGTTAGCCGAAGACATTCAAAATAGTCGTTGAATGGTAGACGACCATGTATAAAACGTTCAAAGAATTGATTGAAATCCAAGTGATGCACACCACCCCATGTATTGTAGAATAAATAGTAGGATACACAAACATCTTTTGGATTTCGAATCACGCAAATATATTTTGCTTTTACATTGTGCGGAATGCGATTTATGGGTAAATGGGTCCGTAAAGCGCCCGGTCGTCGCATACTGATAATAGCTTGTTCGTCGTCTAATTCAAGATAGGGAAATCGTTCAAAAAAATCTTTATAATCGCTGTCGAAAGCTTGCCCATTCGCCAATAACGTATAAATAATAGTTTTCATCCACGTCGTTCCACTTTTTGGATAAGTTGCAATAAACAAATCATCCGTTCGTGTTTTATAGTTAAGACCAAAGCGAAGAGTGTCAACATCCCAATAATAGAACCAATTTATACCATCAATGATTACACATGGATCTTGTTGATCATGTGCCTGATTCTGATCTGTAGATAAATGTTTTTTTCACAAATTGAACTTAGATTTAGCGATAAAACTAGCAAATATAATCATTACAATATTATATTCCACATTCGAGCTGCTAAATTTCATAGAAAAAACTTTATTCTACTGACAACTTTTGTCAGACAAAAAAAAGAACATAATCCTCTTTTATAGATGTGCTAATTATTGCTTGAAGAAGTAAAATTTTCATATTATTGAATAAAACTATACGAGAGAACCATTTGGTGAAGCTTTCTAAAGAAAAAAATGACTTGCGTCTCATAAATAATACCTGTGATATTTGACATTATTACGATATTGTATGCTTAAAGGTAGTTTTGATTAAAACATGGAAAGGATTCTGCTCGTTCTGTAGTTTGACTCTAAATTATATTTGTTTTATTCTAGACAACGAAAGGCGTGTATTGTTTTTTCAAGTCAAGGACACACAAAACGCGTGACAATAGTGTATACCGTTGTCAGCATAGTATCTGCGAGAAAAATTCAATAGAATCAAATATTTTTATTGTATTTCTTTTTAGTGTCACTAATACGATATGCGTTTTGTAGCGGTGTGATTGTTGTGGTTTTTGGCATATCTAAATGCTAGTGTCAACATTGCATAGTAATGAAACATGATTGGATGAAGGTGTGCCGAGTGATTCAGCGACGACTGAAATTATTGAGAGCGAGTAGAATAGTGCGCATGTTCGAGGAAGCAGAATTCCTTGGGTTGGGTTCTGTGAAATCAGATCATTTCGAAAGTATAGAGTTCTGTAGTTCTCTAGTGCTTTTCTTTTTAATCATAGCTTTAGTTTTCAAGTCACCGAGGGTTCAGAACTTGCAGTATTGGTGAAAAATTGTTTCACAGAAATTGTCGACTACAAATTTCATACATGATTCTTCTCCTCAAGTATCAAAATAATTTCTTCTCACTTCAAATGTCTAACAAGCAAACTGTTTACATGCGAGTTTGAAGAACAAAAAAATAAAATGTAAAAAAATCACACATTCATTTTTTCCATTGATGCACGAGAGCAAAGATTTTCCTTGATCCAATTGTTGTAAGAAATAGTTTCCAATTTCTATTCACTTCAATGTTGTTTGAAGGAAACTATTGAAATCAAAAAGTATCATTTTTGATTTGTTTCGATCATTATGACGTCTAAAAAGTCGGCTGCATCATCAACGGCTAAGAAAAATCTGATGGGAAATAAACAAAAGCCACTTGAATCGGGTCCTCTGACCAATCTGGAAGCATTTGCTTGTTTGTGGCTTGACGCAAATATTAAAAATACAAAGGATAATTGTGAGACAGAGCAAGAACTACGTAGAATTATTAATCACCTGCGAACATTTGATCAAGAAAATGATTGTGAGAAATTGATCCGAGCAACTAAAAACGAAAAAATCATTCTTATAGTATCTGGCCAGCTGGGCCGTAGTATTGTTCCACGTCTTCACCATTTAACACAACTGGTTGCATGTTATGCGTACTGCTTAAATGGAACCGATCATGAAGAGTGGACGAAAAACTACGCAAAAGTGAGTTTGATTATAGAGTATCAATCAAATAAGAGCACTGTTGTCAATTCAGGTTCGAGGCGTTTACGTTTTACGAGAAGAATTGCTGCAAACAATTGCTCAGGAGCAAAAATCTCGACTGGAAGCCGAAACATTATCAGCCATCGCAGTCGTTAGCGGTGACTCAGCAGCGTTGGAATCCAGAAATGCTATGTTTCTGTGGTTTCAGATTTTTATTGAAGTATTAATTCGTATGCATCATCATGTAGATTCCAAACAAGAATTGATCCAGATCTGTAAACGAAATTACAAAAGTAATCCTGAAGAATTTCGGGTTATTGAAGAATTTGAAAAATCATATAAGCCAGAAGGTGCCATTTTATGGTACACACGTGAATGTTGTTTCTATCGTATTTTGAATAAGGCTCTTCGCATTCATGATTTCAATACACTCTTTATTCTTCGGTTTTTTATCACAGATATATCAAAAGTATTGAATAAACTACAGGCGTTCGAGTTGCGGATGATGCCTACACGTGATAAATTTATAGTTTATCGTGGGCAAATCATGAATAGAAATGAATTCGATCTCATGAAGACAAGTATCGGTAACTATATTTCAATGAATTCTTTCCTTTCAACAAGTCGTCAGCGAGATGTAGCTGTCTGGTTTTTGAACAATGCTGAATATAATGAAGACACGCTTCGTGTTATTTTTGAAATTAGTATTTACCCACAAGAGAAAACAAAAGCTTATGCAGATATAAGTAAGTGTAGTCGTCACGAAATGGAAGAAGAAATTTTGATCATGCTCGGCGCTCTCTTTCTTATTCGAAGTATTGATGAAGATTTCGATAATAATATTTGGATTGTTCGTCTAGTATTAGCTAGTGAGGATGATTTTAAACTAAAAGATACGCTTGTCTATATGAAAGAGAAGATCGGAGAAGAGACAAATCTCGGGACGCTTGGTGAAATTCTCATTCAAATGGGTGAATATGATCAAGCATTGAAATATTCGAGTCGAATGATGTACGAAGCTAAGATGGGTACGGCCAAGGCGTTTGAAATCGAGGCCAAAGCTGCATGTTTGAAAGGTGACTATACCAGAGCGTTCAATCGATCCGATAATATTATGACGATCTATAACGAAATTCTACCACCTGTGTGTGCAGAAAAAGGTCGATTGCATTGTGCTGTCGGTGCTGTATATTATCAACAGAATAAATACGACAAAGCACTCTCTAAATTAAACGAAGCATTACATATTCAACAACAAGTTTTACCGTCTAACCATCCTGACATATGCGAAACTTATCAACGCTTAGCTGATTGTTATGAAAGCATGGGCAAAATTGCAAAGGCACTAGAATACTATAGCAAATGTTTAAATATTCGTTTGGTTACGTTGCCCGATAGCCATCCTGATCTTGCCCTAACTTACAATAATCTGGGCTCTTTATACGATAATAATAAGAATTACGAACAAGCATTTGATTACTATCAAAAATCGCTGACTATTAGCCGCAAAACTTTGCCACCGACACATCCAGAGATTCAACGCACTGAAATGAATATCGAGAAACTAAAGCAGTTAATTTATTTCGATTAAAATCTGATTTGGTTAGATTTTCTTGCGATATAATTTGCTTATTTCGTTAGAAATGTTCACTAAATTCGAATCAACATAACAACAACGTTCGAAAGTAGTCATAAATTGATTCATTCTTATCTTGTATTGAAAAAAGTTCGCAGCAAATTTCTTGGAGTGAGTTCAATTTGTGATGCAATACTCTCATCATATATGTATTTCAGAATATCATAGACTGGATGTGAATATTCTATAAAATAACAGCAGTTAGCTCTTCAACAAAAATCTCCCTTGAACTATATATCTGGTCTGTTAATCATGATAAAAATCTGAAATTTCTATCATCTGCTAATTCATTAATATCTCGCTCAATTTTCATTGTACAGGGTTGAATTTTTCTTTAAAAGATGCGCCATTCAATTCTTCACCAAACGCGTATTAAAAATTCTCTGAAGATAGATAAGGAGAAAATTTTTTAAATTATACTAAACACATACAAAACGACCAACTTTCACAACCATTGTAAAGATAAAAGATAGAACATTTTTTACACTACTTTACACAATGAAGCAAAAGTGAAGATGTTTTTGAGTACTTTGAAGTGTACTCGTTCTGGTCACGTAGTTCAAAATTCGGTGAAACCACTTGGAAATTTAAAAAGCTGACTTTTCAAAATTCTATTAAAAGTGCCTCAAATCTGATATTTTTGCCAGCTGGATTGAAGAAGAGAGTTTGCTGTCAACTTGCGTGTGAACCTGATACAGTAGTGATTTTCCATCAAAATAAAGAAAACCCGAACCCAAAAGACGCTACTTTGGTTTAGTTATGCCTCTTTTCACCGGAGCGTCGAAATTGCAGATTGAAACAGCTATGTTTTCGAAAATCTAAAAACGAAAATAATCGGTGTATGTCGCAAGGATGAGCACAACAATTTTCAAGTTATGAACCATCGATAGAGCTTTTCAAGGACTACAAAATGCTTATTTTATTTTATTTCCATCGTAGCTAGCCAATTGAAAAGCCTGCAAAAACAGTTTTCCATCGTTGAAAGTTGACTTTTTGGTACGTCTTCAGTACTATTTAAAACGTTGTTTCCTTAACTCTCTTCAAAAAAACGTTCGCCATGCGTTTTATCAAGAATTGAGCGGCTCATCTTTTAGAAAAAAAGACAATTCTGTACAATGAAAATTAAGCGAGATACTAACGAAATACTGAGACCCTCATTTATTCTGGGCCACCCGTTACATATATTTTAATTAAAATTCAATAGTTATTGATCGAAAAAATAAATAGAGAAAGAAAGAAAAATGAGTATTGAAAATTCAAAGAATGTTACATGTCTACGGCATACACATCACTTCACTAGTTCGCCTTCAAAACATTGAAAGAGTGCCAAATGAATATTTTCCAATAATTGATAATATTCTTTTGATCTGTCACTGGGCACATTAGAGTCTCCATTGGAAAGAACAATAACACCGACCGTATTCTTTTCATTGACTAACATCCAATGTCTTGAACCAGGCAATGTACCGCTATGGCCAACATATCGCCGTCCATCCTTTAATGTCTGCCAAGTCCAACTGAGCCCAAAGCTAGGTAGTGCTATTGTGGAGGCATTGGCTATTCCACTAGGATCGTAATATGGGATTAGGCCACCACCAACTATGATTTTCATTTCAGCAATGGATTTAGGACTAATAAGATTAGATCCATTATTCATAAACATTTGTAGAAATTTCGATAGAGAACGAGCTGACATACGAAAAAGACCAGAAGGATAAGCACTGAATCCAAAGAATGGAATGTTTAGCCAAGTAGGAAAGTTTTCCTAACAAGAAAATAAACGAATAGTATATGTTGATAGTATTAAATATGTATTTACTGAAAGCTTTGTTACATTCAATTGTGGTAGACCTTGTGTCCATACATTGAAATCAGACGCATTGAATACATACGCATTATGTTTGACGAGTTCGTCTCTATTGGAGAAATCAGCTAAACGAACACCTACTTTGCTAATATCGACGCCGAGAGGTTTCATGATTTTTTCTTTCACATAGAGATCGAACGACATATTTGTGACTCGTTCAACAACCAAGCCAGCTAAAGACGAACCACCATTCGAGTAAAATGATACAGTACCCGGTGGTTTTGGTAGCCAATTGGAAGTATTCGGATTTATATGAGCAAACAGTGCTTCGGCTAATGTCGATTGTCCAAAAGCAGTATCACCCAGTTGATACAAGCCGAGCTCTATACTATCATCGACAGCGATCGACGACGAATGGGAAAGTAATTTTCGTAACGTAATCGAATGAGATGGATACTTTGGATGAAAAATACGCCGATGAGGTTCCGATAAATAATGATTGATATCTGTGTCTAAATCTACCAATTCTTTCTCGACAAGTTGCATAACAGCAGTCGCAATGAGTGTTTTTGAGATGGAAGCTAGACCAAAAATAGACTTTTCTACATCTATCAATTGTGGCGGTGAAATAGAATGATACCCAAAAGCGTGTTCATAAAGTGTATGAGTGCCATTAACAACGACAATAGCTGCACCAGGAATATACGAGTTATTTAGAGATTTCTCTATCCACTGATTATTCGGGCAGTTCAAATTTGCCACATCTCCAATGGCCGCGAGAAGAGTAAGAGACAAATATAACACGTACGACATTCCTTTGATATTTTTTGGCAAAAAAAGAAAGAAAAAAGTACCCTGTTTGTTATGTTGGCTTATGCAAAAACAAAGCTGTATTTCTATAAATCGATGAGAGAAGATAAAGACACAATTATAAACTTTTCTTTTTTGGGGGATTAATATTTATCTTGTACTAATACCATTGCAATGCTCCTAATAGGATGTATCGAGCTTAATCAAACTGACTCAATTCATCGTTGGATTCTTAGAGCAAAACATGAATATATTGTTTGTCAAATTTTGTTATCTTTTGGGCAACTATCTTAAATTCAGCAGATATCGATGTTAATATACGATGAATCCTCATCTACGTCCTATGTCAAATGCCATCAGCAAAAAACAGCAAGTCGTCATACGAGATAAAAGAACTAAGAACAGCTAAAAACACCTGGTCCCTGATTCAATATATGTACAAAACAAAATCAAGACGATGTGATGAATCGTACACACATATGTTATTGAGTGCAAATTAAAAAAATCAAGAGATTTGGAGATTGCTTTATTTTATTTACAACCGAACCTTTCTTAGATCAAAAACAACATTCTATAGTTCACATGAACTGTATGAATTATACAGACTAATGAATCTTGCAGTTTTCTCAATGAGTATTTCAACTTTTCTTTGGAAAAACCTGATGGCCACATATTCGAAAAATTTCACTGGACGCATTGTATACTCTACAAAAAATAGGTTTAATACCGAACTTCAGTGGTTCAGTACATTTGATCTAAGCGATTTTAGGTTCGGTAAGGTCAAAACCGTTCTGTACTAATTATACAAAACTTTTCTAAGTTCAGAAGAAAAGCTACGGTTTCGCATATTTTCCACGAAAGATTTTATTTTCATAGGGATGATTGATCGTTTCGTACAAACTATACGAAACGATTTGTAGTTCTCTACACTTTCTGGTGGTTTTACGATTTTCCTAAAATAACGTTACATTTTTTCTTAAAACATTGTTAGGTTCCATGCACTTCGTACAAAACTATAAGCGGTTTGTATTTAAGTGCATAGTTTTTTATGCTTCTTCATAAATAACAAATGCTTCAATGTTACCTTTAGTAAATGACTCAATAAAGAATATTCACTTTTAGAGCAGATTGAAAATCAGCAAAACTAATTTCCAAAAACAAACGTAGCGATTCAGTCAAGATACTGAATAGATCTTTTCTCGTCCAGACATCGACAGTACAAAATCTCATATCCCTTGTCTATATTCATGTAAAATATAGAATAAAAACAGTACCATTTTTCATAGCCAATTCACTAGACCTTCAAAAAGTCATGATACACTGTAAATTTATTGTATTTCTATTTTGTAGAAAGTCGATCTTAAATAAGCTAAAACATCTTAAAAACTTCATTATTCATTCGTCGAATTTTGAATGTGCAGAAAATGTTTGATGGTCCAGTAAGTAGCATTGCAATCTAATTTTCTAGAAAGTCAATTTAGATTCTATAAAAAATCAGGAATCAGTTACTGATTTTTAAATAATCATTTGAACAATGACAGCTATAAACTCATTGTGTGGCCATGTATATAAGTCAGTCGACAGTGTTGTGCATAACCGATATTTTTAACTTTTCATGTTTTTCAAACTGTATTTGAACTGTTACATAGTACTTTTATGTTTAAACTTAAGCATCGTGTTTTGCGTCTTTTGTTCTGGTCAGAATGTTTTTAAATAGTTAATTTTTTTTTCTTAGCAGTTTTTTCTCTTCATTGCGTCCTGAAGAAGTATTTTTTAATAGCTATATTTTAACTTGTATTCCAATTCTCATATATTTCTTATTTATGATGTTGTATGGAATATTTTACTCGATATTTATTTGTTGTCTCCAGCCTTGATTATGAGATGAAAATAAAAATTGAATTTCAAAGTTCTAGAAAATTCTCCAATTGCTAAATTAAATGTGAATTTCTAGAACAAACCATACGAATTCATTTTCGATTTTCTAACTAGAGGATCGAATTTTCAAGAAAGCAGAAATTCATCGATGAATTCGTATGGACCTTCCTAGAATATATTTTTTTACACTATAAATTATTTTCTAGTTTACAGTGTATATGATGAACTCAATATCAAATTACTCAAGTATCATTAATCGGATAAAATCCCAAAAATAAAATATTGTATATATTTTTTTCTCGAAAGTAGATCAAATTCACTATCATAGCTATCAACTAAAAATCTTTTAAATGATTTTGAAGAACATGAACGAATTTCACTTCTGTACTTACTTGGAACTATATCCATCACAAGTCGGATCTATGATTATTACAATTAAAATAAACAACGTGAATTAATCTATTTTTTCTATCTTCAGTCAAGTGCATTGTCTCAATTTTCACGTATAGTTATTCTCATAATATTCAAAAACAACGAATGAATTAATTATTTCCTTTTGTCGTAAACCACGTTCATCATCATCATCATGTTCTTCTACTATTACTTTGACAATATTCAAAAAGAATGGTGTATTTTTTTGTCTTGGAACAAGTTGATCACAATGAAATTCAGGTACTATCATTTCAACAATATTCAAGAATAATGAATGAATTTCTATTTTTGTCTCAAATCCAGTTGATCATCGTCATTTTCAGGTATGATTTTGTCGTAACATTCAAGAAGAATGAATCTGTTTCATCTCGCCTATAAACTTACGCTTACCATTTTCTTCGAAAATATAACGTTGGGGAAGTTAGCACAATATTCGAGTTTTTCCAGCCCGGATTCGCCTATATGATTGTGTTGAATTTCATTTTCGTTGTGTTGTATGCAGAATTTTGCGCTGAATCGAATGATGTAATTTTTAAAGGGGGTTGCCGATCAAAATCTGGCACTTTACCTGGAAATACTGCTTTTTCTGAAAATCTTGCAGAAGTAATTCCAGCCCGGATTCGCTGCGTTAGCTGTGTTGAATCTGAAAATGGTTGTGTTGAATTCAGANGAGTTACACAAAACAACGAATCGAGAATTATTGTCCAGTGACTTTAGTGAGTATTGTTTTAATGCTATTGAGGCCAAATTTGAGATACATGGAAGGTCGTTTCAGTGTACTATGGAAAGACTCCATACTCACTTGTATCTTCGGAACTATTTTATGTGTTGATGAGATCGCGCCCAAGCGGAAAATAGTTCATATATGTCAAACTTGAAACTTGAATTCAATTGAAAATTCCAATTTTCAAACCGCTAGCATTCTGAAGAATCGTGACTCACACATATATCGCTATGAGTTGAAAGTTGAAATTTTCTATTTTCAACTGAATTCAAGTTTCAAGTTTGACACTACTGAAAATATGGTACAATAAGTATGAGTCCTGTGCCCATTCAAGCGACTATGTTCTTCAATATAAGATTCGATGAAGATTCCGTCACGTTCTTCATGTTATTACCATTTCATTTTGCGTTCGTTCAAATCCAAAGTAAATTTTATCTTACGGTTCTTCAATATAACTACACACTTTCGGAGATAATTTCGACTGAAATTGTACCATCTCAATATTGTCCACACATTCTGAACTTGTTCAATACATCAATTATTAATTATCCAATGATTCGTCGAGTGAAATATTATCATCTTCCATGTATAGAAGATTCAAATTGGCACACTATCTCAGTTCACTACTCACCAGTTTGGTCTATCGCTCGATGTCATTTTAGGTTATCAAATTCGTCCTTATCTATCGATTACTAGACAATCAGTATATGTCAAGATAAGTATTGCTGTAGTATTCATCATGTTGACTCTTAGTTTACTATCGGGAACTCTATCAATTTTTACTTTTCAATCGAAATCGTGTCGGAAAGTTGGTTGTAGTATTTATATTCTTCCATCATCGATCACATCAATTCTTACAATAATTGTTTTGAACATCAAATTGTAGTTTCTGATTCTTTCGCGAATGTCAATTCTTACTTCTCAATCTTTTCTCATATTCAATTGTATTTCAACTGAATTTATTCTTCGATTTTTATTAGCTGTCGCTGATTGGTTTCATGCTTGTGTAGCTGTCGAACGACTTATCACTGTCATTTTCCATGTCAATTTTGACCTGATGAGGAGCAAAAAAGTGACAAAATTATTAATAATTATTTTTCCTTTGTTTGCATTGGTATCAATTTTACATGATCCTATTCAGCGGCATTTTGTCCTTGATCAAGAAGAACAACGAACTTGATGCCTTATTCGTATGAAGACAAGTGTTGAAAGCTACAATCCTTTTATTAATATTTTTCATTTCATTACACCGTTTTCACTTAAACTCATATCGGCTAGCATCATCATTGTGTGCATTGAAAAGAAACATGCATTACTTAAGGAGCAAAATTCGTATACAGATAATATTAAAGAACAATTTTATAGACATAAAAATCTTATTATTAGTTCTAGTTTATTGGTTCCCTTAGCTTTACCTCGCTTAATATTGACTTTTGCGTCTGGACGCATGAAATCGGCAAGAGAACCTTCGATATTCTTGGGTGCGTATTTCGTTTCATTTATACCATCATTACTTACATTCGTCATTTTTGTCTCAACTTCGAAGTTCGAACACAAGAGTTCATAACAGCGATTTGAAGAAAATGGAAGGCACACAGAGCTCATTTCAGTCGATATTGATTCTTATTGAACAGAACATTTTACAAATGCGAACTACTGAATCCTGATTTCTTTGCCTTTCGAAATGTGATACACATTGCTTTGGAGAGCTTTTCATTGTACAAAAATAAAACACTGAGATTTACTACAGCACTTTTCCACAACATTGGCAAGGCTCTTGTCCATGTCACCTAATCATTCCATTCGATTACGACTGATTAATCGTATGGTTTTTAAGGGTCGACACCTTTTCCGATTCACCAAAGTAGCGTACAACCATACTTTGTAGATCCTAACAACAAAGAAAAACAATATTGCATGATAAAAAATGAAGTATTTTAAACTGATGAGAAACCCATGAAACTATTCTAACTCAAAAGTTACATCAAATGAAAGAACTCAGTAATGCATATAATCAAAACTTTCTATACTAAAAAGCTGAAAGCTCTAGATATACTTTTCTCCTGTTAATATCATCCATTTTGAATCGAGCACAAGATCGATAAAATCAGTAGCTCTAGGTGAATGATAATAAAATGCATTTATATTATTTTCTAAATTATATTCCTATCGTTTATTTATAATCATCGGTAATAACAGTTTCAATTTGTTTCGTATTTGAGTTTGCTGTCAAACACACGACCATACTATGAAAAACCACTGTCGTTTACAATGATGTTGATAACTCGCGCAAGAAAACACTTATATTGATTTCGATAATAAGTACTTATGTATAAGAGTAACAATGCCGTAGTCGAAAGTTTAGACAATTCCAATAGCATTTCTCAAAAATCGATTTTTATTATTCGTAATTCATAATTGTTCACAGAAGAAATATGATTTAAATAAAAATATTTTTTCGTATATAATGACTTTTTGATTTACATTATTCAGATTCTAAAGGCTGTTTCTCCAGCTCTTTGTAAGTCTTCCTGGATACCGTAGTATGCAGAAAGGTTTTACTTATTTTCTTATGAATATTTATCTTTATAACGATTAATGCACTTTGATAAGAGCATCGAGCATAAGAAAAATGAAAGTTAATATGTGAGATCTTGAAAAACAAAACACGTGGTAATTCTAAGATTAAAACAGAGTTTCTTCAAAAATAAACTTCTATTATCTATATAAGATTTCCACAGATGATGATGGCGACCACAGTAATTAGGTGAAATAAAAGATAAATTGAATCTTGTGACCACTTCTAGAGAAAACGTACAATGTTTTACTTATGAATGACACAGAACTTTAACCTATTACCATGAACTATAAGGAAGTATGCGAAATGATATAGAAATTTGACGAAATATATTATAAAGTAGAAAGTACCAACAAGAAGTACAGCAGTAACCATTTTCCTCATGGTGTTACTCGTTATGACCCGAATAGCAATCGAGAATGTAAATGAGTCACCGTCATCCTTTTCACTTTATCGACCCCGTCATCTATCTATCTGGAAGAAAGGAAAAAATTCAAACAGCAATTGGTGAAAAGTAGTGTTTTTTCCTCATGACGCATCATTTTTGTTGATGATAGGAAATAAATTAAAGCAAATATACCAAGGTAACATCCAAAAAAGCATCATTCTTCGTTGATCTTAAAGCAGTATAAATGGTGTGAAAATCATGAACTATTTACCAAATCTTTTGTAATCAAACAAAACAATCCAAGTCCATCAAACAATCATGTCACAATTTAACATTATTTGGCTCGATGCTAATGCTTTGGATTCAAAGAGTAGCTTTCGCTCTAAATTGGGTGCCACAAAACTATTCACAAATGTAGATTCCTGTGTTAAATATGTGGAATCGCATTCAAATGAGCCCATTTACCTCATCGTTTCAGGTTCATTTGCTAAAGAAGTAGTCCCAAAAATCTATGACTCTCCTAATCTTGTACAAGTCTTTCTTTTCTGTGGATCAGTAGCTGCATATGCAGAATGGGCCATGGATTATCGAGATAAACTAATGATATTCGATCATGGAGACGATCTTTTAGAACGATTATGGAATGATTTGCAAACCAGTCTACAGGAACAAGCGATGGCATGTTTCAAACTAGCAAATGAATATAAACAGCGAGCGCTGCAATTCAAACAGTCATGTTGTTAAAAGAAAATGATTAGTATGTTTCTGAAAATGTTTTTTTCCAATGTTAAAAGATTTATTTTTTTAAGTAAAACCTTAAAAAGCATATTGAATTCCGATAAGAACATTTTCTTGCATGACTCATCTTCGCAAATTCATTTTTTGTTCTCTACATTAAAACGAAAGGTCTTCATTATTGGTTTCAGAATTTTGTGGAACTCATATATTTTCGAAGAAAATGGTGAGTGTAAGTTTAAAAGCGAGATTTTTGCAGCTCCTCCCTCCACATTACAAACGCCATCCTCCATTACAGGCAATCACCCTCTGTTACACACATGAGCAAACATGCAAAAACTAAATAAAACATTTTTTTTTTCTATCGACCGATTGACTTGCAATACATTTCACACTTTACGTATTGTGCATTAGTAGAATTAGGCGAAAAATCATACGCGAAATCCACATTTTATAATCGGGTCTTTTACAATGCATTACCTAGACATCTTTTGATTCTTTCACAGTACAGTACAGATTTCGCTGCTCTTCTCATTTTATAACAAATCTGTACTGACCTAGCTGTGGAAAAAAGTGGCATAGTTTTTTCTTACAAAGTTCAGGTTAAGACCTTATCTTCAAAAAGCATTTCCATTTACAATCATCTGATCGGACTGAAATTTCCAGGAATAAGTAGCAGTACTCAGAAACATTAACAGTAAAATTTTCATCGCACAGAATTTCAGAATTCATTCCTATTCAATTTGAATCACCATTTTCAAGTGTATAACGTCAAAATAATCAAAAAACAAATGCTGCTTGCCAACACAAAATTTCGGGTTTCTCAACACAGTAATCAATTATAGAACATATGTTCGATAAAAATTTAACGCGCACTTAAACGTTGAAAAGAAAAATAGCATTAGATAAGTCTCAAACTGGACGGAAGGAGTTTCAAATTTGTTGATTGAAGTTAGTATTTTGAGAAAAGCACGAAATAAAATGTGCGCATGCGCTTAAAACTGAGGTATTCAGGGTGTAGAAACGGTTTTGGGTGTTGTAAAACTTTATATATATATTTGGAAATAGGAGAGTTGGGCGCAGTTTATCATAGTCAAAAATCAATTATGGTTCTTTTTAAATGGACTATTGTGGCGAGGAGCCCTTGCTGAAAGTAGTAAGCTTAATAAATATTTCTGACGACAATGTATTTTTGATTGCGTTCATTTAATTGTGTACTATATTGAAGCTATTTACCCGAACAGTATTCTTTATTTTGCTTAATGATAAACAACCTACCGGTTCTCATTTTCAGTATGCTGTTGGAAGTAACGCTATTGATATGTGTGCAATGTTTGAAAAAATCACTCCTACTTTTATACACTAGAGATACATCATATTTTTCACGGAACTGTGATGAATAAATTCTATTTGTCTGATTTTGAATTTCTATTTTATCAGTTAAACTAGCAATTTCACCTTATTGTTATGCATGATTATTTGGCTCTCCCTTTTTTCGTCCAATTTTACATTAAGAAATGATCCGGACGTTAGAGATGCATGCAACAGTACTCGATTTCATGCGTTCATGCACATATGAAGTGAAAATCGGCCAATATTCATCGTTAAATTTGAGATTGATCGAATGTTATAAATGTACAAATAAATAATGATGCTAATTCAATCAAATATAGAAGTGGTCGACCGCAAAATAAAACGAACCGATAATAATACAGTAAACATGTGAATATTCAAGTGATGAATGTATGATTTTTACGGTACTTTCAATAAGATTATATTAGGTTCAATACAGTTGGAGTGTGTAACGGCCCCAGTAAAGTGCATTTTATGGGTAATGCTTAACGCTTTCTCATTACATCCTTCTATGTGATGCACGCACTCTTATCGTTTTTTGCTCTTACTTTAATGTCATTGATATTTATGTTTATATTTCATGCTCTTTCGTCCCCTCTCATCCTTGCCTCTATAAAGCGTGTGCTTTGTATGTAAAACGATGCGATTTATGATTTGAAGAATTAAATAAAATGTAATACCAACAGCACAAGCATTCTTCTATCTAAAATCGTCACAGAATGTGAATGTGATCAAATTACAAATCCAATGATGATTTAGGTTAGCCAAGTTGCTGCAGAGTTATCTAACAATCAGTTAAAGTTGCTTATTGAAATCAAGCCTGGTTATTTAATAATATAAGCACGTTGATGAAAAAAGAAAGCCTTCATTTATTTCTATTATAAAGTGACTAAAAAGGTTTATACAAGTGTATTATAGATCTACGCTTACTCGATTAGTATTAGGAAGTAACAATCATATAAATATTATAAAGGAATGGATGGAAAAAGGAAGAAAGGAAAAATGTCGAAAGGGAAAAATATCGAAAATAAAAATATGAGATGAACATGAGCATGTAAGATTGAATTGAGGGTGAGGGAGACTTGTACTTCAATATACTCTCGTTTTCAGCATTTCTATCCATCTGCATATGTATTAATTTTGTTTTCGATATTTTTCCTTTTTCCATCATACCGAAAAATCATATGTCATGGTCTAATGTGTCAGAAAGTAATACGATCATATCTTTTCCTCATTAAAGTGATTAATCATACTTTTGTTCTGTGGCTCACGAAGTTGCATTCTGTCCTTCAATATTGACTCATGACTTGTCGTAAACAAGCGGTGGGTATTTAAGTGAGTAATAACAACCGTGACAGCTTCATTCTACACGATGCTTCGAATCAAACGAGATTTTTCTGGCTTTAGTCAACAAGTAGAGCAACAGTGTGTACCATTGAAACAGGTTAGTGTCGAAGCGTACATTAAATCGTTTGCTGCCGATGTAACTATCAAACAAATCTTTCGTAACGGTGAGACAAAACCCATTGAAGCAATTTACTGTTTTCCAATCGAAGAACAAGCAGCAATCTACTCTTTTGTTGCTCGAATTGATGAACGAGAAATTGTTGCACATTTGAAGGAAAAAAAGGAAGCACAACGAGAATATATTGATGCTCTTCAACAAGGTCATGGTGCATATTTACTTGAACAAGATGAAAAATCTCAAGATACTTTTGTTATCAATGTTGGTGCATTGCCAGCTGGTAAAGAATGTCATATCTCAATATCATACGTATCCGAACTAGACTTGGTTCAAAATGGAAGTAAAATTCGTTTTGTTATTCCAACAACTATTGCACCACGTTACAATCCAGACAAAGGTGGTATTAGTGCACCATCTGGCACGACATCTAAATATGTTCAAACTACTCCATATACAGTTGAATTTCATTGTCGAGTAACGAAAGCAAATGTCTCTCGAGTTAGTTCATCATCTCATCCGATCAAAATTGATCTCGCTCAAGAGGATGTGTATGTGATCGAGTTTGCTCAACAAAGCACTCATCTAGATCGAGATATCTTAATAGATATTGAATTAGTTAATAATCATCCGAATACCATTGTTGCAGTGGAACCAGGCGCTGTTATGGCATCATTTACACCAACGGAAGAAGATTGTCAACGTGCAATGAATAATACTGAAATGACCAATGAATTTATTTTTGTTGTCGACTGTAGTGGATCGATGGAAGATGAGAACAAGATTGGATTGGTTCGCGAAGCCATGTTACTCTTTCTCAAGAGTCTCCCAGTCAATTGTCATTTTAATATCATTCGATTTGGATCAAATCATCAGGCACTATTCAGCAAGATCACTGCCATTTACAATGAAGAGAATGCACAAAAGGCTGAACAGCTTACAAAACAGTTGAAAGCAGATTTAGGCGGTACGGAGCTAGTAAGTTTTCATTGCTTTTAACGATATTATCTTAAACAGTCAGTCGTTTATCTCTATTGTAGTTACAGCCTCTTCAATGGTTAGAAAAACATTCTCCAAGGCAAGGTCGTGCAAGACAAATATTTCTGTTGACCGATGGAGAAATTTTAAATGTGAATGAGGTAATCGACTTGTGTCGTTCGATGACTAATTCTACACGAATCTTTTCATTCGGTTTGGGTCATTCGCCAAGTCGTTCACTAGTCAAAGGTCTTGCTCGAGCAACAAATGGACGTTTCGTTTTTATTCCACCTAATACTAGTGTTGACGTACATGTTGGTGAACAGTTACAAAAAGCTCTACAATTCTGTATAACAGACATAAAAGTGAAATGGAATCTGGCTACTGATGTAACAAGTGCGCCAACGAAAATGCCACCAGTCTATGCTAATGATCGTCTCATAGCGTATGCACTTGCAAACGATTCAACGTTTGTGTTCAATCATAACTCGAGTGTCGAATTACATACTGATGAGAATCGATTGGGAGAAGCAAAAATCGATTGTATACCACAGGTTAGCAACAATGGAACGATTGCAAGACTTGCTGCAAAAGCTCTTATTCTCGAACTACAACACTCGAAGCTACCATCCTCGATCGAACAGAATCATTCAGGGTCATTGCAGAGCCGATTTCAGCACAATCAACCATCACCAACACCAACAGTCGACGAAAAAGAAACCACGAAGAAACGTATTATTGAACTTTCCCTCAAGTATCAGATTCTAAGTCCACATACTGCTTTTATTGGCGTTGAAAAACGAGTGAATGCCAGCAACGCTGATATGGTCTTACGTGAAGTACCAATTCAAATATCGGCCGATGACGAACATTTATTGGGATCTCAACAGATGATGAATTTTTCTGCTCCTATGATGGCCTGCTATGCAGTGTCACCACCAGCGTTCAGAGCGTCGATGAAACAATCTAACTTCTCAATGGACTGTGCTTGTTTCAACGCTTCAGGAGCATCTCGATCGAGTTCGATGTTTAATTCTTCTATGTATGATGAGTGTTGCATGCCTGAATTATTAGCTGATTCAGACCTCTATAATGACGAGTCAAACAGTAATGCTATGGACTTATGCGCAAGCCCTCAGTATTTGATTGTCCAAGAGAAAACTGAATCATGGCCAATAGATGATCAAGATATTGTTCGTTACTTGATCAGCAGACAAAAATTTAACGGTTTATGGGATTTGGATGCAAAAGATATAGAACAACTGACCGGAAAATCGCTACCAAACTTTCTATCATTCAACAACAATCAGCAAATTGTTATTGCGGCCATTGTTATTGTTGCACTTGAAACACGTTTTGCTACATTGTCGACAATGTGGCATGCTGTAGTACAGAAAGCTCGCAAACATCTACTCGAATTACTCAACAAAGACGCTAATCAACTTCAATCACTATTAGAAAGGATTCGTCAAGAATTCTAAGCATTACTTTTTTTGTCGTTGTCTACTTATATTTATCTGTAAAGACAAAATATTTAATATAGAAGAATCGATAATTTATTTAATAAAGCAAAGAATTCATATCACATGAAAAACAAGTTTAATCTAGAATAACCGCAACTGTATTGGAAGACGATAAAGCAACGACTAACTATGTTAAATCTATGATTATGAAATATTTTCTTCTTCTAGCCAAGAGACGGTCTTGAACATACGAATAGACAAACAAAAATAGCCTCAAAATAATCATAATATTCTATTCCTGATTGCTTACTTCTTTTCAAAGACTTCGATTATTAACTGCCAAAAAATGAGTCCAATCTTGTGTTTATTCAACGACTCAGTTATCATTCTTATCCATTTCTATATAGAATAAATTTTTTGATCATTACATTTCTAAAATCATTACTTATGATTTGGTGCCACAATAATATTCATTGTAGAAAGGTTGTTTTTTCTTTGTATAGTTATAGTTTCAACATTTCATGCAAGTTTTAATTAATTATGGATCTATAGATATTTGACCAATCCGATATGTGCGAAGAACGAAAATCTAAAAATACGAAATAGTCTCAATTTTTAATGAGTTCCTAGTAGACAGGATATGAATATGGCCTCCATCGACAAAAGCCATTTGAGATCAAGATTGGTTAGTAAAGGGAATATAATAGATATTATTTAATTAAAAAAGCGATACTCCGGAATTCGATACAAATTTTAACAGATTTATTATTGTTCATTGACTGTATTCCAATAAGAGACTTGCTATCTATTGGCAGCATCATTTTCAGTGAGAATTTTCTTGAATATAAGAAATACAAGAAGCTTCGATTTTATTTCCGAAAATAATTCAAGAAAAAAAGTGTTAAAACTTCGTTACTATACTGGTCCACGTGTCTGTTCATTATGTGTAAGAAGCTTTTCGTGTATAATTGTTGATTTTGATGATTGCTGTTATTTTCTAAAATGAATGTAGAATGCTATTATGGTAATTTAGCGCCAACATTCGCTCTTATCAATAGTTTTCTTTTGGTAGTTTTTTCACTGCCTAAATGTTGCAAAGCTTGTTCATTTGATAGTGACTCAAGGTATGCAAGCAGCTCATTGGCATCAGAAGATGCATTATTTTTTTTATTCTTTAAGGATTCGTAATTTTATTTCGGCTGCTTCGTTATTAACAATGACGATCTTTTCTTGAGATTTAATTAAGTATTCTTTTCTGATATTCACTCAAGTCGTCTTGCCATTCGGCTATTTGCTTTGGCTGTCATTCATCGAGCGCATAACGATATACTTACGTAACCGCTCACGATGTAATTCGTCATAGATCATTTGTCGTTGTTCGCCATATTTCAAAAGTTCGTCTTGTTGAATAGTGGCACCATCTACAATTCGTTGGATCACTGTTCCTGTCTCTTTAAATACTTGTTCTAGGCGATATCTTACATTGACATCAAGATTTACTTGCATATCGGTCAGATTTGACATTAATGTGCCGATTTAGTAGGAACTTGACAAATTAACACTTGTGAACGATGTAGTATTCATTGTCGATTGAACATTAGCTAAATCATGCAGACTTGAATTTTTCTTCTCCCATGTACTAGATTTCTGTTTTTCCTTATGATTTTCTTGGTTGACTAATTCTTTTCTGATTGGTTTAACTTTCGATGGTACCTAGATAATTACAAACAAAACTTATGACCTGCTTCAATCATTTAAATACTTACTAAATAAAAATTTTGGGAATTCCGATTGAAAATTGCTCAACGAGTTATCTACTATTATTCATATTAATCTAAGAACAAGCGATAACAATCAGAGTTTCATAGTGTGGGCGTGGGTGTGGGTGTACGTATGGCTTAATAGTAAAACCACACCCACACTCTGTGAAAAATAGAAGTCAGCTGCTGTAAACTTTAAGACACAAAGATTTCTACAGACTTGAAGCCTTTTGTGTTTGATATTATAGTTACTCATAATCTTCTAGAATAGTTACGAACGCACAACAAATATTATTCAGAATTGAATTTCACAATAGCTTTTCAAATTCGAATCATTGACATAGTACATCTGTTCAATACATGAAAAGGTCATATTTTCTTCGACTTTTAGCATGCATTCGCATCAGATTTCTATAAATATAAAGGTAAATGAAGATTTTATTTTACCTTCACATCATATACATTTCCTACTGAATATCGTTTTGGATCTGTTGGTCACTGAAACTGAAACTTGTCTTCATTCCCTCTTGGCGGTAGTGGCCATTTTATATCTTGTTGCTCTTTATGAATTATTTTGGGTTGTTTTGAATTTTCAATTGTTGGAGACTCTTCCGCCCAGTGCTTGTATTTGATCACTGAACCCATATTTTCTATTAAGCTTTAATTATGTCTGTCAGTTACAGAATCCTCAAGTCGACATCATTCGTGTGTAAAAAAAATCGATAACTGTTCGAAATTATTCATGATAATGTACTTGTTAATTTTCCATAATTATCTATTTTTGGATTTACTGAATTTATTGCATTATTAACGCAATCATGTTCAAAGAAACGTTATACCTCGTAAGCGCCAAAACATTATGGTCTGCATAGATGAGTTTAATTCAAACAAATCAATTTTTTATTTTAGTAGTTTATTCTCATCTTCCAATTATTTTTATTTTACTATTATTGGAGTTTATTTTAGAACTTCAACGTCGTTTAAAATTTTTCTAATATTTTTATTTGTTATTGCTTGATATTAAGCGATTGTAAGTAGCAGTAAAATTTTCTCTAACGCAACAATCAATATGTAAAGTTGATAAAATCTTGTCTATACATGTATGTAAATTTCATAATGAGTGCGGATGTGTGCATGAGTATTGTCTTAAGATATGCCAAAATTCACACTCACACCCTGGATAATGTGATGAATAGATCATCCGACGCAAATAACAATACCTCAAACCTTCAACCTGATTTTCTCACTGAGTTTGAAAAATTGTTTCAAACAAAAGAAACAAGACCTTGAGGAAATCTTTTATAAAGTAAAAGAGCGAAAGAAAATTTAACTCGACTGATTAAGTAATCCAGATACTCAGTTAATTCTAGAATAGAAAGCAATCATATATAATATTGACTGAATTCAATATCTTAAAGGTCAAAACCAATCCATTTATTGGACTTTTTATATTCTGGTTATCGATAACAGTCTCGTTACTATTCATCAGTAGACAATAAGTTGCATCAAGCTGTTCCTTTTATTTTCTTCATAGCAAGCAATTAGACTGAAAATATATCAGTATCATAGTGCTATTAGCAAGAATTGTGTCCCTGTACAGCACGATTCGACAACATATTTATTGGATGAGCAATTTGATGTCCTCAAAACAAAAAGCTCTGCTGATTTATTGTTGTATTGTGGATGTTCTCTCATCGAAGATACTTGTGAAATCACTGCTGACATCACCTTGTTCTTCTTAAAATTGTAATGGCTGTTGATATAGTGTCCATTGCTTACAATAGTGACATGAAGTGTTTTTGTTGCAGTAGGACTTAAAAATTTTTTTTAACTACAGTAGCAGTCAGTTCAAATATACATATATGTAACTATATATATTCTTTGCTACCATCGACACATTTAGCCAACGAGTATCAACTACTTATATATTACAAACAAGACAAAGGATGCGTCCATTGCGATTCTCCAAGAGCATTCAAATGACTGTATTTCATGGTGGTAGATCTTACTCTAATCATGCTGCTCCACTCGGTAAACACAAATTCGTCATCATGGCTCCTTTTGCGAAATATAAAGCTCCTTACAATTATATTTTGTAAAGTCAAAAATAGAAATAACATTTATAGATCAGTGAAACTGTAGTGTGTATGATATTAGACGTGACTTTGGACGTTCATATTCAATAGGTAGTTTTAATTAAAAACAGAATTGCTTTTAATTATCATAGAAAGAGTAATAGTAGTTTTCGAAAAATGAGCGATGAACAAATGTTGAAGTCTGATGAATATGTACATTATGTTCTAATAAATAATGGAGTCTCTGAACTAAAAAGAAGTCTTCTTTTTTGGGCTATTATAATTTTATCTATTGTTTACGAACACCGAGTATACCTTTATTTGTTTATCATATCTTATGCAGATTGATAAAGATTGTTGTTTTTCTCTCATTCTTTGAAAACAGCTCGTAATTCAATTTCGCATCATCATTCAACATGTTTACTATCTCTTTTGTGGCAGTTCTTCTTCTAACTATTACTAAAATAACAGCATCCACAATAACAGATCCTATACCATTTGGAAACGAACGATTAAATGATTTTTTCTTTGTAAAAAATGGAACCATATTTCACCAGTTTGTATGTATAAATTGAATTTTTACATTTTTGCAAACATTGAAATATTTTATAAATAAATTTCATAGAACCATGGTGCTTATGGTGGCACTCCCAAAATTGTTGTAGCATCGCAATATACCTATGTTGAACAAATGGAATCTTCGATTGTAAGAGAAATCAAATGTTTCTCTTATACGCAATCAAGATTTTTGTTGTTCATTATGTAGGACGCTTGGATGAATCGTGCAACTGGTTATCGTCAATGTATAACATCAGCAAAACAACGATTATCAACAATGATGAATATTAAGAATGCATCCGATACTGTCTTAGTCGATAATGCTAGTGAAGGGATTAATGTTATTATAAGAAATTTAGATCCACCATTAGGGCCATCAGACTACATTTTAGATTTATCTATTGCTTATGGTCCATTTAAAGGTTTATATCAATGGTTAGGCTCACGTTATGGTGTTAAAGTATTAGAAGTACCCATACAGTGGCCAGTCACTGGTCCAGCATCGTTCATTGATCCAATAACTGCTGCATTAAAGGCCAATGCTTCTACAATCAAAATTCGTGCTGCTATATTTAGTCATGTTTCTGCATATCCAGCAGTAATATTACCAGTAAAAGAATTGGTAGAATTATTTCATCAGTATAATATTCCCGTGATTGTCGATGGAGCACATGCACTTGGAAATATTGAAATCAATGTTGAAGACATGTCCGACGTTGATTATTATTTTACAAATACACATAAATGGCTATATTCAAGTAAAAGTAGTGCCATTCTCTATGTTCGACGTGATCATCAACATTTGTATGTACCCGCACCAGCTGTTGTTGATTCAGCGATGACGGAAGATTTTGAAACAAGATTCATATGGACAGGTACACGCGATCGAACAGCATACTGTGCTATTTTATCAGCATTAGATTATCGGCAATCGTTGGGTGGTGAAGAACGGATTATGAAATATAATCATGATTTAGCTCAGTATGGTGGTCAATATTTATCACGTCTATGGGAAACAAAAATATTATCACCAGAGAATTTACAAAGTTCTATGACGAATGTGCAAGTACCAACAAATAATTTAACAATTTGTCAAATGGTTGTTGGTCAATTGTATAATACGTATAATACTATGGTCAGTGGAGCTAGTAGCATTGCTCCTGAACTTGGTGATATTCCTTGTTATTTACGATTGTCAGCACAGATTTATCAGGAACAGAATGATTGGCACGTTTTAGGGGCATTAGTATTAAAATTATTAAAAGAATTCAATAGTTATATGCCTGAAAAGAAACCATCGAGATTTTAATTTTATTTTTCGTATTGAAATCATTATCGAGAATAAAGAGCACTATTCAATAAGTTTCAATTAATAATTATTTGCCTATTGATTTTAACTTTAAGTAGCAATATTAGCGAATAGAAAAGGGCTGTGACTATGATAAATTATTACGTCTCAAGCGAGGGGTGTTTAATGACTGTGGAATAGGATTTCCTTCTCAGTTCCCAACAGTTTCCCGAGTACGAAAATAAAAAAATACAATATTCAAGATAGTTTTTGCTCTTATCCTCATTTTCATCCGGAAATTTATCTACATGAATGTTAGGGTAAAAAAAGTATTTCAGAGAAACGATTATTTTAACTTTCATGAATTGATGAACTATGAGGAAATTGATGACTAGTTCTCGTTTCCCTGAGGAATTACCATGGCGTTACTGATAATTCCACTTCAGTTTAAGAATTACCATTTCTCACTTTCTGCACACTACTGCAAAGGTTTCATACATGTATACAATAAAAAATTTAAGCAGTTAGGAACTGATTTAAAAAAGCGTCATCTATCGCAATGCAAGATGCACTAAAAATGTTATTGGAAAAATAAATTGAAATAATTTATTTCACTCTTTCACTGAATTTAATGTTTATCTAGCCTTATAATTCGGTGGTACCTCCAGTTTATTGACTATTAGACATCGTGTGTTCTTCTATGTTTTCAACATGTTATATATATTATTTATTACCACTTGCTATATTGTCAGAACCAGACGACTCACTCTTTGATTAGTAGATTTTAGCGTCATTTATGCACTGCAGCTATTATTTTTCCCTACAATTTTTATTCAATGAATGAAGTACCAAAATATTCTAAGTTTAATCTACAATCAACAGGTGCAGTTTTTTTTGTTCGCAGAGATGCCTGCAAACTTGATTTTGAGACCAAAACCTCTTTACTTGTGTCATGCTATTGGATTTTCGCGACATCACTATAGAAACGAGTCAATTTCAAGGTGCACTGCTAATTAAAAGACAATAAGCTAGAAATCAGGCTATTATGGTAGTGTTACTATTGATATTGTTGATGAAATAGTATAATTATCTTTGGAAAATATTCATTTGGAAAAATAAACAGTAGATGTCACTGGTGAGAAGTGTCTATGCTATTAAGTTCACAAAAAAAACGTGTTTTGACCCCTCTCACAAGATATCAACTGACAGTGTTTGTATCGGGGGTAAAAAGCTGCAAAACAACGAGAAAAAACCCAGAGCGAATGATTCAATTTCAACAATCATTTTTTTTCACGAAGAAAAGACAGAGTACAAAGTCTCATACACTGTCTTTGTATTGATTCTACTTCAAAACATGCGCGATCTCAAGAACTATTTTTGAGCTTCGCTGATGGTAAGTTGAAAATGGCAATGATTGTATATGGAAGAAATACTTGATATTTCACACGGAGACGAGCCAACACACATTTTTCAATTGAACAGTATTTAGTCAGCAAGAAACGACCGGGGTACGATTTGAATGCATTGCAAAACGAATGCGAAACACATCTCTCCCATTGATGTTGGTAAATAATGCATTCTCCACATTATGCGGACCATTTTTTTCACTTTTTCTCTGTTATTATTTGCAACATCGACTGTGAATAAGTACCGGGCGATTGTTTCAATCGGCAAGAGAAATGGCTCGTTGCCTATAGAAATGTGTTGTTGGAAGGTATTTAATCAATTGCGTTGATCAAATGTATACTCTGCGACAGGTGGTGTTGACTGAGTATTTTTTTTAAGCGAAAAATAGTGTGGAAAAAATATTTGCATTTCAAAGTATTAGCGTAACGAAACTTGTGAGTGATGAAAGAAAACTATTTAGTAAGTAGGACTAACAGTTTTTTTTAGCGTAACCACAGTATCAAAGTGTACTTAATGATTTTTCGAAATAGTAGTTTCTTTCTCACTGCGGTAAGATGCTTTTTTTTCGAATACTTAAGCATCTACCTGAATTTAACAGTCCTCTTGTTAATTTTACCCGAAAATACGCACCGGAGACCCACGATAGGGAACCCGTGGACACTTCTTACGTTGGATAGTCTCTAAATAATTCTCAAACATTTTTTCATATGTAGTATAGAAAACGTTCAGGAAATTACTAAATAGCTGGTTGGTGCTAAAAGTGGGCTATTCATTATTTTTACAACTACATTACTTTTAGTTGGATTTTTGCACTTTCTCATGAATCCCTCAGGAAGGCTTTAGAAATTTCTCAACCATTTGTTTTCTTTTATCCCTACTCCTCATATTCAAGAACTTGTTAATGACGTTTCTCGGAAGAATGTACTAGAACTATTCAGCGTAGGAGATTCAAAAAACGTACACAAAGCTTGGTCGAGATAGTTAAATATGCCAGCGTTTTCATCGTTACCACATCTCCCATATTTCAATGATTATTCAGAAATTCTGTAAAGGTAATGATGTCCATTGTTGACACATCAACCCTCAACAGTTGCGATTTTATAGAGACATTTATCCGTCAAACAACTTAGGACGACAGCTCGTGACCAAAGCTAACGTTCTCAAGCTTTTTTCAGATAGAAAAGATTGAAGAATCTGATAAAATATTTACGACCAAGACACCACGTTTTGAAACAACGCAGATAATGAGAAAATTTAAGCGCTTTAGAAAGTCTTTACTATCCAAGTAATAGATATGATACTGTGCATAGGATTTAGCTAAAAATATTTTCAGAAACGATTTGAATAGAATCCATCATATTGGATACATTAGTAGATATGCAATGATCTTTTTCTAACAGATGCTAAGCACTTCTGTTTCGATCCTTGTTTTACTTAACAATATAACAATTGTATGTGATGCATCCAAATGTTATCTTTCTGGTATCGTAACACTGAAAATAATTTACATGTTAGAAATAAAAGATATGGCGCTTATAATTAGAATCGCTAAAACAATGTCAAACGATTGCCGGAAACATCAAAGAGTGTAGATGCATGCTTTCTGACGCGAAACGAGGTAACTCTACTTTCATCAAACAAATATTTATTTATCTTAGTTGTAACAATATAAAAAATTGAAGAGGTTTTACCAGTAAACACAGCCCCAGCTCATGGTAGCGAACAGGGGCGAAACTATTGTAGAGCAATTGTACTGTGCGCATTCATACGATAACAAAGAATTCGTTTTTTCAATGAAAGAAAGATTAGATAGTAGTTGCTCATATACATCTATACTACACACTATCTTTTTATGTTGAGTTATTGGAGTACATTATAGTGTCTAATAGGATTTATTTTCCAATGCTGTTTCAATGATTTACTTTCAGATAAGTAATTTAAACTTTCATAATGAATTCCAATCAAAATAATAAAAAAAGTAAGTGATGATATTTTGTATTGCACGAATAGAAAACATGATGCCGTTGCGTCTGCTCGACATTATTGAAAGCTAAAATGCAATAAATGTTGTTGGCTAATTGAAAAATGAATAATTCTGTTTTATCAGACAAATTTTGGCTCGACTGTCATTTTCATGATGTCGAACAAACATCCATCATGAAACCTGATGAACTTCAAATTAGTTCAAAAGACTATGCTCACTTATCAAGCATCGACGATAATTCATTGGATCGTATCCAGGGTTCTATGTTTGGTCTAGCCATAGGTGATGCCCTTGGTGCTCATGTTGAATTCAGACCTCGTAGCTTTTTGGTGGATAGTCCAGTGACAGATCTAAAAGGCGGCGGAACATGGGGTTTACAACCAGGACAGGTCAGAAATCTAAAATTATCAATTTTCATTTTGTTCGCCTTTATAGTTTACTGACGATACCTCCATGGCTCTATGTTTGGCTAATTCGCTAATTGCTTGTCAAGATTTTGTTCCGTACGATCAATTAGTCCGTTACAAATGGTGGTATCGAAATGGCTACATGTCATCGACTGGTCAATGTTTTGATATTGGTGCGGCTACCAGACAATCTATCGAAGAATTTGAAAGACGTCAAAGAAAATTTGCCCAAGATCATGGTATTCCCTTAGATCACATAGACCTTTTGTCCGATCGTAATCTTCTTCAAGCATTCGATGTTTTGTGTAGTAAAGATGGTGTAGCCGGCAATGGAGCCTTAATGCGTCTAGCACCTGTACCACTCTTTTTCTTTCGAGTACCAGAATTGGCTGTTGAATATTCGGGTGTTAGTGGTAGAATCACCCATGGGGATAACGAAGCATGTGATGCTTGCCGTTATTATGGAGCTCTTATCGTGGCTGCTCTAAATGGTGAAACAAGAGTACAACTGACTAGCGAAAACTTTTACGATGATCATCAGCAGTGGTTCAGTAATAAAGCTTTGGTTCCTGAAATTATGAAGATTGCAAAAGGATCATACAAAAAACCAGGTGGCTATGAAGATGGAATTCGAGGGAAAGGATATATTGTTGATGCTCTTGAAGCTGCTTTGTGGGCATTTTGGAGTGATGAGGACTCGTTCGATAAAGGCTCATTGAAGGCAGTGAACTTGGGCGATGATACAGATACAACAGCTGCTATTTATGGCCAGTTAGCTGGTGCTTATTATGGATATAAAAATCTACAACCGAAAAAATGGGTAGATTCTATCTATGCAAAGGATTTTATTCTTTGTGTAAGCAGCTGGATTACCTACGAAGGGAAAAAATGGTTTGAGAAGCAAGTGAAACCCGGTGAAAGTCAACTGATTAATTCTTTTGATAGCATGTCGTCCACCTCAATATCAAATATCTCTTTCTTTATGTTGCCCACATCAAATCGAAGTTACAATCCCTCATTGACTGGGAACTTAAGTTTAAGTCCTCTATTACGTAAGGCAATTCTTCCTTCCGGTCACATAGGAACTCTCTATGATGGATGGCGAGATCAGGTTCTGGAAAAATTAAGTATTCGTTTGAAAGTGAGTTCCAATGGCTCGTCTCCAGTGATAGAATGTATGATAAAAAGTGGCGAAAAATCAGAGAATAGAAATGTTCTTCGACTTCTTGATTTTGACATTGATCTCCAGTTGAGTATATTATCGAACTTGGTATCACCAAGTGGTATTGCTTCAGCTGTTAACTATCCATTTTTAATTGATGAATACACCCGTATCTTATATTACTCCTTCGCGGCTCGGTATCAAGCTTTACTTGACGACAAAGATATTCAACAGAAAATCGACACAAATTCTGCCACTCATGCCATTACTGCAATAGACAAGGGTATTGATGTTGTCGTTCTATTCAGATTACCTGCTGATGATTCGAAAATAATCGATGCGCATCTTGAACACATATGCCATTCCTTGATGAATGATACAAAACCTACTTTTGATGAAGCTGTACTCAACAGAATTGTTTCTACACATGTTTATTCAAACATTCCTCATTTAGCCAGTCAGACAGCAATTGTTGATATGTGTCAGGAAATTTTTAAAATTAAAAACAACACTTATGACTATTCACCTTGCAACTATATTCTTCATCCCAGGAAAATGTTTGATCTCGAGCACAATCACAACAATGTCGAATTTTTTCCAATAGAATCCAAAATTGCAACCAAGATTGAAGACTATTGGTTTCGGCTATCATCCGTTAGTAGAATATGGACAGCGTTTCGAAATGATAAAATATCCGAGTGTTATGAAAATGATTTGAAAGAACAATTTCACGATGTGCAGAATAAAGTCTCACAATTAATAAAGCAATATGACGATGAAACAACACAAGGTCGGGATCTTATTCAGAATATGCGCCGAAGCAAACAATCACAAGAGATCATGAATGAGTATCAATTACGAATCGATTTAAAAGATAAAGATCTGAAAAGCAGGATTGAGGATTTGATGCATGATTTGAGAGCTTTGAAAGAAAAACAAGAACTTATCGATGATTTAAAAGCTCGAAAATTTACTTATTGGAATGCTGCGAATCGAGGTATTAAGCAAGGTGATACTGAGGACGAGATAGAGAAAAAGCTGATTGAAGATATCAGGCAACAAAGAATTCTGTGTTCTAACGACATTATTAATACGATACATTGGGCACAGTTGCAAGATATATTTACACAAATGATTGACGAGAGAAACAGAAATCCTAAATTGAATCTGATTTACGTTGATTTCTCTTATTGTTCACATGAGCTGGATACGATCAAAGTGTTTCCCACTACGAACTACTGTTCGCGTAGTAATACACGTGCGTCTTTGACACCTAAGAAGATAGAACCAATCTCAGTTACACCGAAGAATTGCAAAAATCAGATGATCAATATAGTCCTTATAGGCAAAACAGGAGTCGGCAAATCAACACTAATTAACACAATCGCCAACTGCTTGAAACACAGGACATACTCTGAAATTCAATCAAGTACATCTGCTATTAAAGTGTTAATTTCATTTATTTTTCCACTCATTAACGAAATGGGAACGCGCTTGATCCCACTTGGTAATAACGATCCTAACGAAGATCACAATCATAGTGGTCAATCTAAAACAATGCGCTGCAAGTCGCATATATTTGATATCGCAAATGGGCAAAAGTTACGGATTATTGACACTCCTGGCTTTTCTAATGTTTCAAGTGGCCAAGGTCAAGATGAAATAACAATGCAATACATACTTTCTTTCGTCGTGAATCTGACACACTTGAATGCTGTCTGTGTCCTGATTGAGAATCACGAATCGGAATTCATTGGGTATCAGCAATGTTTGAAACAGTTGGTTAATTTTCTTGGACCTACAGCGCATGATAATCTCATATTTAGTCTCACTAAATGTCTTTCCAAGAATGTCCATTCCAATATAAACACTAATCCTGTTCAATCATTGCTTAACTCCGTGTCACTTGGTAATATCCCATTGAATGACGAGAATATATTGAGGTTCGATAGTACTTTCTTCATACATTTGGCTAAAACACGCTTCACGGGTAACCAAGAACCAAATTGCGAGATGAGCTGGTCGATCTCAAAAAATTCCCTGGATAAATTACTGGAGTTTGCCTGCCAAAGTCACCATGGATACCTCCTGCATCAAGGTTTACAAGGAGTAGAATATGCACGACTCGCAATCCTCCAGATGATTCGTCCGATAATGGAAGCGATGCGAAACATTCTTCGAAACCATATTTTACACAAATTGGGATGTTCATATAAGTTTATAGAGCTACGTCCGAAAACTACTCAACGACATTCGGCAATATGCAATCGGTGCTCTCGTTCGTTTAAGCGGCTTGAAAGTCTTTTGGTTACATGCTATTCCTTGCACGAATATCGAAATCAATGCGAATGTTGTTCATGTGATGCGACGCACCACGTACCAGTCGATTATCAACTGGATTACGAGCTGGTCGATACTGTAGGCTATCCATCCAACGACTTAGCTATTCTTAATCAGGAACTGTTTCCTGCAAGCGTACACTTCGCTCATTTCCTCGATCAAAATATTGATCGCTCTAGTCAAAATCCATTCCTGGCCTGTCTCAATCGAATGATCCACGAGGAGAGCTATATTTGCGACCATGAAGGTTATCATCAATCGAATCGGGCACTGCATAACGAACTTCTAAAACTAAAAATGGACTATAAACAAGACATGAAGTGTATGGTACAGAGAAGTGAACACGACCACTTGGTGATTATTAACGACTACATCGAAAGTGTGAAAAAAATCTCTATTATACGCGATCAAATTAGTGCTATCAGCGGAATACAAGACAACTAATCTGCATTGAATCATTAAGTTTAACAGTTCAATTAATTAAAGTGCACAGACAGTACTCTAATGCTTTTAATAATAAATTCATTCTTTTTCATCCGATAATAATTTGCTTCCTGCATATGGGTAATTAGGCGAGAATATTATACTCATTCCGTGAGTAAGACTCTTTTGAGATTGTACGAATAATAGAATACTTGAAGCATTATAAGCAAGAGTTCATCAGTTTCGATGCGAGTAATAAAACCTTACTGATGAAAGCTTTGAATACATTTCAAAAGTATTTATTATAAGAAAGACTTTTAAATAATACGACAATCATCCAGCCAGAGTTCTCTGATCGGATTTAATATAAATGAAAAGCAGGTATTATTACAAAAATAAAATTCAAAACTTGTAAACTACTGGTTTGCTTGTGTTTGCCTCATAAGTGTCTGATAGTACAGTATACTGGTCGATTATATCATTCATACGATTCAGCAACGTTTGTCGATCATGATCACTTACATCGAGATCTTTGATCATCTCCTGAATATTGTAACTGTTCCAGAATTCATTTTTACGATTATAAAATGGACGATTGTCTTCACCATTTCCAAAAACTTCTTTTAAAATTTGAATATCATATGGCATATTAAACCGATCACGGCTATCTTCGTAACTGAAGAGATAGTAGAAATTATCATAGCCAGACCAAGTTATCGCTGAAAGACAAAGTGAGCAAGGCTCGTGTGTACTAAGAAAGATACAATCTTTAGGGTCGGGTATATTAGATCGATCGTTCGTTTCCCAGAGCTTTTTAATAACATTGACTTCGCCATGCCACATGGGATTATCTACTACATTGTTGACTTCGGCAATAATAAGTGAAAGGTCTGACTTTTTAAGAATAGCTGCGCCAAAGGTACCATTGCCTCGCGTAATACAGTCTCGAGTCTTAGGTAAAATATCTAGTTGAATGACAGCCAAAAACCGGTTGATCAATTCGACAGTATTCATCTGTAATTAAAAGTAAGAGTTACGTCATTTTCTTAGTTGTAATATGGTCGTCACTTACATTTATTTTCAATATATGCTATAAATTCTCGAGTTACATTTAGCCCTTCTGTTGACTCAAATGCTTCTTTATCTTCTATCTCGTGTAAAGATACATTGATTATTTTTCTTTTCGTATTGCAAATATTTACACGCAGTAAATACTATTATTAGTTGTTAATGATAGATTTCATATTAATCGTAAAAATTTTATTTAAATTTTACATTTTTTTCGCTTGATCTATGAGGATGGTGACTACAGTAATTCACATTTTCTTAGATTCATATCTCGTTCAACAAACAATAGTTCCGATCACGAATTTTATCGGCATCGAATTTCACTTTATTGATCAGCAAATGAAAAACAATTTGCAATAAAATATTAGTTTCAAATCTGCACATACTCTTTTACATAATGCAGTGAATTGGTGAAACAGAAATAAAAATTGATTGCTTTGCTTCATCAACATCCCTACGTTGTAATGCAAATGCGCGAAAATTCAATTAAAATACTAGGTACTATACTACAGAACTTTATCATTCAAAAAGCTTCACGCATACTCTGAAAGCGAGAGAAAAGAAATAAAAATTCAATTCATTTGTTAGTTTTATCGACACTGGGCAAGCATCGATCTACGTTAGTTTCTCAGGTGTCAAGGCTAGGTAGACACCGACGAAAAGTTCCTTTTATTTCTCAAGTGACACAGATTGGCAAAAACCTGATATTCACGACCGATCAATCTGCATTTTCTACCAATGCCTTGAAAATATCACAAACTTCTCATTTAAATTCACCATCATCAGTAAAAAATATAATCCAAACAAAAGTTAGCTTTAGTTCAAAACGGATTTTTCAGTGCCCTTTGTTTGTTCAGGATGTGCCTTGAAACAAAAATCATATTTTAATCAAGNTTCTACCAATGCCTTGAAAATTTCACAAACTTCTCATTTAAATTCACCTTCATCAGTAAATTTGACAAAACATAGTAAAGTGTCCATGTTCGTTGATTAGTATTTTTTGTTATTCTCGACGCAGCCATTGTTGTAGCCACGGCACTTCGTATTTTTGTCCTAGCTCTAAATAGTACGAAAACCTCACCAAGCAATCATAGTTCAACTACTGTGGCAACCACAACGACGTGTACTACACTGTAAAAAAAAACCGTAGAATAATAAACGAAAAAAGGGTTTATGAAAGTGCAACGTGTAGC